CCGTTGCTCAAATTTCTGTAACTTGTTTAAATACGAATACTGAGCCTGACACGGATGCTTTTACATGTCTTTTGTAAATAGAATTGTTATAAGCCCCGCAATTCCCTTTTAAACTAAAAAAAAAGGATAAACTAACAACCCACATGTAGAAAACCCCAAAAAGGACATTGTAAATTAAATAATCCCTTCTGAAAGAATAAAAAAAACATGAATAAGTGGCACACATGATAAAAGCGAAGGCAGGAGAAATGATCTTAGAATTATCTTCAAATGCAACAATAAAAGTTTCCCATGTGTTTACAAATGTAAGAAGTAGAATGTTGAATTGAGTGTATTTTTTCTAGTTGTAATCATGACATTTGTGAGTTGGATGTTCAGCATCCCGCCACCTGATTACAATTGCCCGCTTCACCATCCATGTCTTGTTTTCTTCCCTACAGACAAGAGAAGAAGTCTGTAAAGGTGGTGAGAAAAGGGCCATGCCGTTCTTAACTCCGTAAACTACCCACACCTGGATTGGACTCTGTGTATTGGTCTTTGCTCCAGCTTCAATAAAGCTACACACTGCTGCTTGGCTCTGATTCTATCCTTCGGGAATGGGTGCCGGAGTTTTCTGTGGTGTTTCACACATTACCAGTGGGTTCAAAGTGGAATGATTCAGCTCTACTGGGAGCTGGAGGGCTTTATTTAATAATACACTCGACAACTGACTATGCACTGATGTGACAGAGCAAATCCTTTCTCTGACTAAACAAAGAAATTCTTTAACATTCTGTGTCCAGCCATGGTGACCAGGACCGAGTTGTTGACTGTGTCAAGCTATCCACGAGAGGCCATCAGAATGTTTGGGGGTGCTAGCAAGCAAATGTCCTCCAGATCTGAATCCCCACTGCTGTTGTTACTTAATGGAACTTGTAGAAGCCCTTTGTACCCTGGTAGATTATCCATCCATTTTCGTAACCGCTTATTCCCTAATGGGGTTGAGGTGGGGACTGGAGCCTATCCCAGTGATCAATGTGCGAGAGGCGGGGTACACCCTGGAAAGTCCTACAGTCCATCGCAGGGCCACACAGAGACACACAAGGACAAACAACCATGCACACTCTCACCTAACCCATCCATCCATCCATTATCAATACCGCTTATCCCCTGATACTCTCACCTAATGTCCAATCAAACTAACGTGCAGGTTTTTGGATGGTGGGAGGAAGCCGGAGAAAACCGATACAGACACAGGGAAAACATTCAAACTCCACACAGAAAGGTCCTAGTTCCCCTGGGGATTGGAACCCAGAACCTTCTTGCTGTGAGGCAATGGTGCTAACCACCACACCATCGTGCCCCCTGGTAGATTATTCAAATTCTATTCACCATGGATTGACTATGACTTCTAATTACGCTATTGCACCCCTTCAACATGAAGCAATCCTTCAAGGTCTTGATGGGCATGGTATCACTTCTGTCACTATTTCACCGGGCTTTTATCTAAAAACCGATCATCTGACCTGAGAATCCCCACAAGAGAAATACTGTCTTCCTCTAATGGTACCCCTCGGACTTCTGAAGGTGTTCCTTGGCCAAAATCTCCAAGCCACATTTCATCTGGCAGGTGGGGAGAGTTCTAGTTTTGTTTCTCAGAGTTGTAGAGGGGGGGTGTTATGTTGAAGTGGTGAGAGAGTGGCCAGGTCCCTAAGGTCTCAAGCAACTGCAGAGTATGCTTGGCTTTGCTTACTCTTTCAGACGTTTGTTTCAGAACAGCTACTCAGTCCTTTCATAACAACATTATCTAACATTTTAAGGATTTTTAAGTGTTCCATCAACAAATACATTTCAACAGTTATGAATTTGAAAAACAGGGATTTGCCACTACTCCCAAATTATGATAAATAAATAATAGTAGCAATGGCAATGACTGTATGGCCATCCAGGTAATTGATTCCATGGAGTCATTTTTCTGTTGAGAAGGTCAAACTGTCAATCCACATGCTGCCTGGAGCAGTTACCCACTAGATTCTTAAAGTGTGTGCTGAGCAGTTTTTTTTTACTACAACCGGCTCTTCAAGTCCACATTTCACTTCAGACTGGAACATTTGCAATGGCCTTAAAAACAGCTGTCATCAAGCCTCTTCTAAAGAAGAGCAGTCTGGATTCCTCCGTACTGAACAGCTACTAAGCAAATCGAATAGAAAATGTCCTGGAAAAAGTTGTATACCAACAGCTCACTGACTTTCTCTTGTCTAACAAAGGATTTGATGCTTTCCAGTCAGGCTTTAGGCCTAGTGTTTATCTTCCTATTTCATTTTTATGTCTTTCTCGATTTCTGGTTTCTACCACCTTCATTCATGTCCCTCAGTTCCTTTCTGTTCTTGTTGTTGATTCAAAGGTCAGCAGTTTTTAGTCCACTAATTCAACTCCTCTCAGTCACCTCAGCCAGATCCTTGTCGTACCCTCCAAATGGTCTGCCTCTGGTTTAGTTTCCCTCGTCTTATTCCTAGTGAGTCATCGGTGTCTTTTCAGGCCTGTTTTTTGTTTTGTTATGTCCAAGTTTTCATTGGTTTGTAGCTTCGGCTGCACCTTTTGTTATCCCCTCTGGATAAATGTTTGTTTTTACTAAGTTCCTGGCTACCCCCTGTGTTCCTCCGCTGGCCCTTGCTTTTGGATTCATCCTCTCACCACAACACCGGTAGTTCATGACAGCTAAGATCTGCATCAGGTTGATGTGACTCAAAAAGGAAATGCTATTTAAGGCTTGTGATCAATCTAAAGTAAGTCTAAGAAAAGCTCAGCGCTGTTTTTATTTCTGATACAAGAACACAGATACCTCCTCAGATCATCAATAAATCCCCTTTGAAGGTAACATCTCTTTGACTGTACCTGCTTTCATCATCTTAAAGGCCGTACAAATGATCTCAGCTTCAGTTCACCCTTCTTATAAACCATCATCTATTCATTTACATAGGTTACCGCATGACACATCAGAACCAACATCAAAGACTTGTCCACTATAAAACCTAAACTCATTGCTTTGAAACAGATCTCTAATATCATTTAATCTCCGAATCTGGTCTACCAAACTGGAAAATGGACTCTTCCTATTTGCACTGGAGCAGTGGGGCCCCTCATTGAGAACCATCCCTTCCTGTTGGCGATACCAGAGCCAACTGTTAAAGTCTTATTGGTAGATCCATAATGGCGCAAGACTGCCACCTACTGATATAAAGTTGAATGGACACAATGTGGAAATATGACAAGCATACAGAGTAGTTCAAGGTTCAAAACAAAAAAACAACATATAGTCATTTCTCAACCTACCACAGCAACTTTGTGTATTAGAAACAAAGTGTTGTTCTCCACAGGTAGAACAGAGCTTCTTTCATTGTAGTTACAAGGTGGGGGTATCAAGTATCTTTTTTTCTATTTATTCATTTGAGTGTTAAGAAGAAGATTTAAAGATGTCACATTTTTGGGATTGTGATGGGTTGTTGATTATAGCGCAAATAAAGTATGATGCAAACCCTGGAAAGTGCCTTACTCCTTATTTGTCAGCAGGTGGCACCACGTGTCAGACTCTGACTCACACTGTGAATGCTTTAACTTGGACAATGTAGCCAATTTTTCCATTTAATGGAATTTTAAAATCTATTTTCTTCATGAGTGCAACCAGCCATGTGAGTTAGATTTATAGTTTCTATTTCATTTGTGTCTATTTTCTTCTATGATTGTATTACCTGCTTAAAATCCCTGCAAATGGATGAAAACCAGCAGATGATGGTATTCGTTTCCTTGATTTGCTTTCCTTCTTCTCATCTGACGTGAGTGTGCATTTTGAGTCTGTTATTTGTTTCAAATAAATAATAACAGCACTATTATGAATTAGAATACTAAAAGTATGAGGTCAGTAAGATAAACATAGACTCAGATGCTGCTGGCTTTTCATTTAGTGTTATGTCACTGGGATGTGGGCATGGGAGGTGTTTCTGTTTAGAAGAAGTAGCTGTCAGAAGTGGACATAAATGGGTGGACAGGTGTGTAAAGGTGAAGAAGTGCTTTGTTTACAGAGCTGTGGTCCAGAAGTGGACACTGGTAAGTGAACTTGGGCATGAGTCTGTTGGGCGAGGGACACTGGTGAGGAATCCTCTGACGTTGATCCACAAATATGTCATATACATTCTTTAAGAGTTCTTAATGGTTCCAATTTCTGAGGTGGTTAGCTCATATTCAGGTGATTTAGGCCAATTGCTTGAAGCCCAACTGGTGGACAAGGGTATTTTCCAAAATATAGTCCTGTGATGGACTGGCCAACATCTGTTCATGGTGGACCCTTTCTTTATTTTACTGTCTGGAAAACGTGATTTCCCACCACAGCGAGTGATAATAACACATATGTGGAGTATCTTACATTACAAATTAAACAAAGACATCATGTGTGCCTCAGTAAACTAAAATCTGGAGATGGCCTTCTGTTAGAATGTCCTGAAATCCAGCTGGGGAGCTTACAATCATCCATATTACCCATAAAACATCACATTCATGACATTTTTACCATATATATGATTCATAAAATGTCTGGGTGTTATAAGGGCCAACACAAGGGGCTTCATTTAAGCTAATCTTTAACATGTATGGACAAAAAAGTCCAAGTAGATAGCATGTTTGACATCAACAAACATGCTATAAAGAGCTTTTCAAACGATTTCTAAGTTCTTCACAGCTGGCAGATGTGTTGTGGTGGGAATCAGGTGTGTGGAAGTGGGGAAACATCTAAAACCTGCAGGACAGCAGCCCTCCAGGATGGAGTGTGTGACCACCCCTGGGTTGAAAATAAATTTAGGATTCATTTAATTTTCCTCAAATATGACTTATTTCACGTTCTCAGGCTGGAAAATGAAATGAAAAGATGGCAAGCATTTCCCCAGACGTTCCCATTAACTGGAGGGGGGGGGGGGAAGGCTTCCTTCTCTTTGGGTGATGTGGACCTGAAGACTTTCCGTTCCACGTCCACCACTGACACTAAGAACACGCGTGCCTCTTTCCCTTTTTACCGGAGGTGGGCAACGGGGGAATATCTAAAGATAATTGCATTGATCTCGGAAGGCTCGCCTCGCGGCAGATGCGCGAGGAAGGTGTCCGGGCTCGTTACGCCGTCCTGACGCAGCGCCGTAGCGACGACGCTTTTTTTTTTTGTCACGGGTGTCTGGATGAGTTGCAGCCTCCGCTCAGCCGCCGTTCAACGCTCCGTACCGAAGGCTCGGCAGGTGCCCACGTCGACGCTCGTTGGTCCGGCTGTTCGGAAAGCGTGGCTTGTAATAAAAAAAAAACCGCGAGGTGCAGGTAAAGGTCGGCGGCCCCCCCCCCGTGAGAGAGCCCGTCGCTGCCCGGTGACAAGGAGAGGGCGGTTCGCGTATCTGTTGCCAGGGTGAATTCACGAACGCGTTAGCATCCGGCTAGCTAGCGAGTTACAGGTCCTTAACCTAAAAAAAAAACAAACAAAAAAAAACGAGCCTGCTCACTTAAATCATAAATGTCATCTCACGTTCGTGGCCGACAGCCACCGACACGCGCCGCGGCTACATACGGGTCCTGGCCTCGCGCGGAGAAATTACGACCGAAGAGGAGCGTTCACGCGCAGGAATGAGTTTCGTGCAAGACTGAGGGAGCTAACGGCGGCTAGCAGGCTAGCTCGATGCCCACAGCCCCGCAGACTATGCGGCTGCCGCGCAAGCAGCCGCCCCGCCAGCCGACATGGGGCTTTTAGAGCTCGGCCGCTCCGCGGGGGCTTCGGAATAGTACTACGTACGATGACACTACGCCGCGGCCCTTTAATTAGCAGCTAAGGAGGCCGTTTGCGACAATGGAGTCTTTCCTGCAGATAGCGCCCCATTCTTTGGCCATAGTGCTGTCCAGGGTCGGGTCCGGGGAGGCGGCGGGCGCCGCCGGCGTGTCCGAGAGCGACGAGCTGCCCAGGCACCACACGGGCTACGAGATTTTCGCCGACTTCAAAGCCGAAAACTCCCAGCAGCACGTGTGGAACCAGCGGATTACCGACGCCGTGTCGGAGACCTTCTTCCTGGGATGGATAGACGAGCACGTGCTGCTGATCCAGGGGAAGGAGGACCATCTGGAGGTGCTGAGGGAGGGATGGATGCGGAGGTCGCTCAATCCGCCCCGCGGATTCACCATCAAATACTTGGGTGAGGGATACACACACACACACACACCTGCCAAAGGGCTCCCTCTGCCTGCTGTCACCCTGGTGGACATTTCTTCTACCAAAACGGTTCACGGTTTGGGTCACTTCCCGCTTTGCTCCCTCTCGTTCACACGTTGAATGCTTCAGAACACTTTAGTGGGACATTTCTAATAATCTTCCACCATCTATAGAGTCTGTGGTTAACAGCCTGCCAGCGCACATCCACCGCTTACCATTATAAGACGATGAGGTCGTTTTTGATACGATGAAAGGAAGCAGAATCGATGTAAATATGGTAACTGAACCTGTATTAAAAAGCCTGCTGTGTCCTTCCAGTGTGTAGTCTTGTAAACGGGGAGTGCACGTCCTCCACACCTGTCTGCCGTGAACTCGGCTCACCTGCAGGCCCCTGCAGAGTGGAAAAAAGCCCTCCTGCATCCAGACATGAGCTGTGCTCTCAGGACGGTAGTAGACCTGCATCTGGGTTGGAAACGGGGGCCTGTGCTGGAGTACTTGGTCAGGCGCTTGTCCTTACTCTGCTGTGCAGGTGGGCTGACCCTCATGTGGACTCCAGTTCTAATAATGGCTATTAACAGAGAGTACCAACCCAGAGGTAAGTGGTCAGGACAAAAGCCACTTATGCCACATATAGTAGGAGGCTGCACTTGACAGCTAAGACAAATGCAGTAGAACCTCTACATACTAATTTAATTAGTACCGGGACCTACTCCGTATGTTGGAATGTTTGTATGTTGGTTCAAATATTCCCATAAGTATACACTGTAATTTGTACAATTTGTTCCACAGCCCAAAAACCTACGATAGCTCCTTAATAAATACTGCAAATAATTACACATAGCGCTAAAACAAATGCATTATATAAGACAGATGTAAAAATAAATAAATTCTAAATAAATAATCAATAAACAGGGTTTTTTTGGCACTTTATCTTAGAGACTGGTGAACGGAGGTGTATGCTTGGCGATGCAGGAGGAGACAGTTGGTGTAGAGGAGGTGACTGAGAAACAGGACGTAATGTAACTTCCTCTAACTTTCACTACGTGAACTTTAAACAAACATAGCTTATTTAATTTAATTTTTATATACATCTTTTTCTATGACTTTGACGTCAGACGTATGTTTGAAATTTACCTCATGAGTTGAGTCGAAAATTTGATCGAAATTCACTTCGGATGTTGGAAAATTCGTATGTTTAGGCAATCGTAAGTAGAGGTTCTACTGTACTGACCTCCAGCTGCACTAAAATGCTCACCGTATGTGAGATAACCCTGTGTCTAAAGGATTTGCATCCGGCCTAACCTGCCCAAGATCTGGTTTAGAAATAAGACACTGGGTCATGTGAAAGAGTTGCCTCTAGACCCGTCAAATCTCCAGGGCAATGAAACGATAACGACATCAGTTTTGGAATGCTTTTTCCTCTGCGTTTCAGCGTGAGATGATTCTGCTGGACTTTAGCTGCGACGCAAACCACAGTCCCAAAACTGATGCCTTTAGCGGCTTTCAAAAGAAGCCCTTTCCACCAGCTAGCCCCAGTGTTCCCCACACAGGAGCTCTGACCGAATCACCCACTGACCACTAACGAGTGTTTGGTCAGAGCGGCCGGAGGAGGGCTTGATACACGGCGGTTGTTGCAAAGGATGCTGGGATTTGAAGTGTCAGTCGTTGGGCTGCTAATAAATACATTAGATTATTTTGTGGTCTGTTAGTGGCCTGCAGGTCTTTAATTTGAAATGACGTCAAAAGACAAAAGAAACAAATCTCTGAAAGGACTTGCTCCTGCTGGCTTTTACAGAATGAATGCTTTATTGATCTAAAGTCAATGAGCAATTTTTTGCCGTGGCTTCATACAGTTAATCAGTGTTCAGTAGTTGATTTTCCTGAATGGAATGAAACATTGTTGGCAAGTTCAACGCCACTTTTGACTGCTGTGTCATTGTTCCAAACTGAGAACTGAAAAGTGACATTCTTTGGCAGGAAGAAGAAGGCCACAAGTGCTTTGACTGCTTTCCTTATTCAAAAACTCAAGTGGAATTAAACTAGATGAAATGCCTTGGGATAAACCGGCTGCACATTTATTTCATGAAGCACAACCCAAAAATGTCTGACCCGCTCCTTTTTTTCCGGGTGAACAACAGAGATTTCCTGAATTTGTCGGTCTTTCCCACGATTTGGTGAATCCATGGATTCAGGGGTGTTTTTCTACGTTTCTGGGAGAGAACGAACAGAACTGGGAAGATCTCTTCCCAGTGTACGTGCATGGTTTACATGTTCGTAGCATGGACCAGAGTTGGGTTGTGGAGCTTTTGCAAGCCAAACTTAGAGAGAGTAGTACACTACTGCATGTGAATTGGCCAGTAGTTTGCTGAATCACACAGATTGATGTGTAGTGAATGGTCTACCAATCACCATTAACCTGTAGATATTCAAATTCTACTTTCCAAAGTAATTCAAATGCACAAGGTTGTTCTTTTGTTCAATCTTTTGTATTTCTGTCAAAAATGTTCCATAATAGAGAGCCAAGCATGACTGGACCAGGGAAACGTGTGGTGCAAGCGGATTGACTGGGGCTGATTCTTGATAAATTTTGTTTCTGGCCTTCTTACCAATTACCTCTTTGCTTCTTGGTCTTCTCTGGTTTTTGCTGGTTTGCTGCTGGTACTTGAGATCGAAAGTGTTTCTCAGATGGTAAGAAACTGGCATGGCTGCAAAGCTCCTGCGTAGCATGTGCGTGTTCAGTCAGAGGCTTCTTCGGTTCTGCTGCAACACAGAGCGTTGGGGAACCAGTCCACATGGACACCTTAACCGGACTCAGCGAAAGCGGGTACAAATGACCACAGGAGGGGCACACAATGGATACAAGTAAGACAAGGCAAGGCAAGTTTATTTGTCTAGCACATTTTGTGTACAAGATGATTCAAAGTGCTGGCGACCATCAGGAGACCAGAACCTGAAGTTCACAAAGTCCGAGCTGGTTCACATGGCTCTGACATGTCAGAAAGGTGTTTCGGTGGTTGACCATGAAGAGACTTGTACACAAACAGAGTTGTTTTAAAGTCAATTCTCTGAGTGACAGGAAGCCATTGCAAAAACCTGAAAACTGGACTGATGTGGTCCTGTTCCCTGGTTCTGGTCAGAGCAGCAGCATTCTGGATGTTCTGCAGCTGGATCACAGCTGGTTTAGAGCCCAATGAGAAGGTCGTTACAGTAGTCCAACCTGCTAGAAACAAATGCATGGATCTGTCTTTCTAGGTCTGGTTCAGACACTATTTCCTCTGATCCTAGCAACGTTTGTTGAGATGGTAAAAGGCTGCTGATGTCACTGATTTAATGTGGCTGTTAAAGCTCAGGTCTGAGTCCAGTATTACCCTAAAATTCTTGACCTGAATTTAGGTTCCAGAGAGAGTGTCTGAAAGTGACTAACGACACCTTCTTTTAGTTTCTCTTAGTTTCTGTGGGCCACAGAAAATTATTTCAATTTGTCTGGGTTTAGAAGAACGAATTGAAAATAAATAGATATAAATAAGTTATACTTTAAAAACATTCTTTTCTTTTGGGTCAATTACATTTCTAGTGTTCTTGTGGTTGATCATGACCGGGGAAAGTCAAAGAATGCAACCCGGCGTGAGTCTGACATAATGCTGGAGAATTTGAAGAACTTTTTTAGCCCTTTTGCCCCCGCTGCACTTGTGATGTAACAGTTCTCTTTTTGTCTTTCTTTCAAGGCAACAAAGACACCATGGGACGTTTCCAGAATGATCAAGTAGTCCGTAGCTGGACTTCAGAAACTAGAAGAAGTTAGAAGCCCTTGACTTCTATTCTCAAAATGTTAAATATCTTGAGAAATATAAAAGTCTGAGGCTAAGCTCTCTCCCTACTTTTGCTTCAGAGATAGGTTCAGCGAAAGCCAGTCATGCATGTGATCCTGCCATTATGGGACTTGGTCCCTTGTTGGGACGACCGTACCGCCCCCAGACCCTCACAGGCCGGGTGCAGCACCCATAGTATTATCAGCACGAGCTGCGCTCTGCTGTCAAGCGGGAGCTCTCTTAGATTTGTTTTAGGAATTATTTCAATGCTCTGGAATACTCTTTTGGGAGAACTTGTGTGTGTGTGTGCGTGTGTGTGTCCTATATTGAGCTCAGTGCTCTTAACTGGGTCACACTAGAACACAGCTGCAGTTTTTCTAACGTGAGTTCCCATGCACACGCACATACACACACGCATATGCGCACTGCAGTAGAGCCGTGTGTAGGACGCAGGCTGCCCGTCTCGAAACGAAAATACTTTGGAAAATGCCCGGCGTGGCTGTTGATGCGTCTTAAGTGGGAACGAGCAACAAAGAGCAGCTGGGCTTCAGTTGTCATAGCAACCCTCTCAGTAGCCCTCCCACAAGCTGTGTGTGGGTAAGTATTATATGGCGAAGGAGGAAAGAAATGGATGCAGAGTGAGCTGGTGTGTGATTGGTCACACCCCCTTGTCTTTGTGTGGTGCAAGGGATTGTGGGTAGTCTTTGACTAACTGCTCATGTGTGTGTGATTTGGAAAGAGTGAATGGGGGCTATGTGTGTGGGGGTGTGTGTGTCTGCGCATGTGTGAGAACGGACGAGGATGACGCCTGAGTGTGTGTGCGCGCGTGTGTGTGTGTGTCTGTGTGTGTGAGGGGGAGGAGCAAGCTGTGTGTGTGAGTGAGGAAGATGAGGTAGTCTGTGTGTGTGAGAGGGATCTGCGCTAACATCAGAAGCCGCAGGCCCATGTTTTCCGCTACCCGGACTGTAATTTTCCTCAGAGGGGAGTGCTGCCGCCCCGCAAAGGTAGGACCGCGTCCGCGAGCCGGCTGGGCCGTCCCCCCCACCCCCCCCCACGCAGCAGCCGGCGCTCTCTGGCTGCTAGCGAGCGTTAGCCATGGAGCTTCCCCACTGGTTCCCGGGGCTAAAGGCAGACTCCCAGCCAGACGAGTGGCCGAAGGAGCGACGCAGACAGAGCAGCTGAGGCAGTTAGCCGAGCTGCTCAGAAAGCATGGGGGGATGGAGGGATGGAAGGGGGGAGGACTAGAGGGTGGGAGGGAAGGAGAGCGAGGATGAGAAAAGGAGGGGGTGTGGTTTAATGCTGTGGACAAAGGAGGCTGGCTGATTGTTTACTACCACTGCAGTGAAGGAGACATGGACAATCAATTCCTCCTGTCTTACCCGGTCTCCCCCTCCTTCTTTTACTCCGTCCTCAGTTTTCGCTCCGGAGCCGCTCAGCAGTTTGGCCACACCACGACTTCTCTTTCTAATCCAACAGCTCCGTCGGTGCTGGTTTTGCGTGGTTCCAACTGTCTCGGAGCAGCCAGGCTGTGCGGACATGGCAGCTGCCATAAAAGGCAGCCGCTTTAAAACCTAAAAGCTGTTGAAGCCCCACTTGTAAAGTTCAGTCCCCGCGTTCTGCTCCAGCCCGGAGTCCGAGACAACGCACTGCCGGCAGCCTGCCCTGAAAACTGCAGTTAGTATTTCATTTGTCACCATTACGGACAACTTGTGCACCGGTAGCTATTTAGGACCAATGTAGTACAGCCAGATGTGACGGTGCGGACAATAAGAGCAGTGGCCTGCAGAGGGATTCCCCCCCTCTTGGCATTTTTACGTCTTGCTGCCTCACAGCCTGAAGTAAGATGGATCGTTTTCCCATTTCACTTACAGGACATGCCTACAACTTTGAAGAGCGATTCTTGTCAGGCTAACAACAGGACATTAGAACAGAAAACTTCAGCATCGCCTCCTCTGAAAGCTTTTCAGAGCCACCGTTTTGTGGCGGCTGGCTGCTCCGGATACGTCTAGGAGCTTGCCATAACTGGATTTTTGCCCATTTCGCAACGCTAAAACTGCTCAGGCTCCTTCGTTTAGGGTGCTTTCACCTCGAGAACAGCCATCTTTCAAGTCTAACCGCAGATTCTTCATTGGCTTGAGGTCTTGACTTTGAATCGGCCATCCCACCCACTCTGGTGCCTAAATGTCCACCTCTTTAGCGGGACGCTTTGGGTCACTGTCCCACTGGAAGGCGAACCTCCACCCTGTCTCAGACAGACAGATTTGGTTCAGGAGTATTCCCCTTTTCAGCACCGTGCATCTTTTCCTCGACCCGCAGCACCACGCCGCCTCTACCGTTGCTCTGTGAGGGAACGAGGTAGGGATGTGTTGGGTTTTGCGCATGAAATCGGTTTTCCGGGGCAGACAAACCAGGATTAGTCTAATTTTGGTCCTCATTCAGAGTTGCCTTTGGTCTCTCTACTGCCTCTGGAATTAATAGCCTCCTTGCCCACGCGGTTTGTGAGTTTTTGCTTCTCTTTTCAACTGATGATTTGCGGGTCCTCTGGTCCGAATATTGTTGGGCTAACCCAGCACTGACCGGCTCCCCGGTCCTCGTGGTGCAACGCCTCTGGTCGTGTGCTTCACTGACGTCACGGGACACTCAGACTGCACACAAGTGGACGTCATCTCACTAGATATGTGTCTTTGAGGTAATAAGAAGACAAGAGGTTTTTATAGACTTCATAGCACAGGTTGGGGTTCATTCCTGCAGATCCATCTCATGTAGTGAGATGAACAAATATTGAAATTCCACGTTTGTAACAGTCGGCTGAACAGCTAAGTCCTGTGCCAGGGCCCAGTGATACCAGCCGTCAGACTATCAGCCCCACTCTGCCTGTGGCCACGTGGAAAGTTTAATCTTTGTGAAGTTAACGTGATGCTGGTAATTATGTCCCCTTCACGATGATGCTTTTTTTTAACAGTGGCTCTGTCCAGTAATGTCGAGGTCCTGAACACACAAAACAGAAGGTCGGAGAAAGGAGTAAAGGAAGTCACCGATGTTCAACTGGAATAAAACAGACGTGTTTGAACAGAGGAGGGATCTCGAGTATCGCCTTCCCGCTCCTGCAGTGCAGCGTTGTCCCTCCCGCCGTTCACACATCTGACCCCGGGCGCAAAACTCAGCTTTCAGACAGTTAGATAAAGCTTCTTCCACATCTTTACCGTGTCCTCTACATCACTCACCGCAAACAGTGAAGCGGGTTTCCGGTGGCTTCGTTTCTACAGGCCCCTCTTTGCCTCTCGTATCCCTTAAAGCCTGCTTTGTGGAAAAAAGCTGTTTGTGAGAAAAAGTTGTCCTGTACTCGGATTCCTCCACCTTTGCAGCTCCCCCAGAGTTACCCGGGGCCTTCTGGCTGATGGTCTGACTAATGCCAGCTTTGCTGGACAGGCACGTTTAGGTGGGTTTTCATAATGGTTCCATTGTCAGACTGTGTCTCTTCTCGGAAAGTACAAAAGAGAGCAGATCATGTCCATTCAAATGAAAAAAGCTCTTTGCCACCTCCTGGAGGACGTCCTTGTTTTCTTGTGATCTTTGAGTTCAGTCTGTAAACGGTGTTCTGTCAGATACAAAAGCTGACTCAGCATCACCCGTCCAACTACAGATGGCGTTGCAACTAGAAGAGAAGAGGAGCTAATCACTTTCTGAAAGAGTAAAATTCCTCACTTTAAACACTGACTGTGGTTTCTGTTGTGATGGGAAAGTTTGGTCTTTGAGAAATAGAAATGAATTTTGATGCGTCACACCTCTGGGGCTGAATGTGGTGTTGTAGTACTTTTCTCAAGCTCGAATTCATTTGAATTGTTTCAGCGGTGCGTTGAAAACGTCTAAGTTCACATAGATTTGAACCGTGGCTCACTCAAAGTAACCGATTTCTCTCTTTTTCCAGGTGATGTGTCACCCATCAGTATGTCCCCCATCAGCCAATCACAGTTTGTGCCTCTGGGCGAGGTGTTGCTGTTGGCTATCTCTGCTATGAACTCTGCCCACAAACCGGTGACTCAGGAGGCCCTAACCGAACACCTGCAGACATGTTTTCCAGGTAACGTGAGTATCAGTCACCACCTGCACCCAGCATTAGTACTAGTGGAGACTAGTGGCTCATGTATTACAGCGACCCAAAGAAATGGGTTTCCCCCAGAGGGGTGGCTGTGCTCAGCCTTAGAGATAGGGGCAGTAGGGCTTGGCCATCCATAAGGAGCGCAGAGTAGAGCTGGTGCTCCTCTGTAAAGAAGCGAAGGGGGCCCAGGCTTTCAGTTAGGACGCCAGAGGTTTTTCATGCCCATCCAAATGGGAGATGGCCCAGGGGCAGATCTCTGGAGAGAGGATTTATCTTATCTAGCCTGGAAGCACCTGTTGGCTTCCTCAGATGAGCAAAAGAAAACGTATATTTTGATCTTATTTACATTTATGTATGTCTATTTTAGAATAGAAAGGAATGGAGCCCAGCAACTTGTTCTTTTTTTTTTTGGCTGTGCAAAACCTCTGCTGGGGTAATCGGTAAATGTCTCCATCCTAATTTGGCTTGCTTAGGGAAAATGAGTTGTCAGTACGATGTTAATGTATTTAAGACTAGTGTGTAAGCTTGTCTATTTCACCTCCTGAAAGGCTGCTGTAACACCTACAGCCTGACAGAGGGAGTGAGAGGAACAGGAATCTAGATATTTGTAAAAAAAAAAGAAAAAAAAAAAGGCAAGCACAGAGAGCATCGTCTTTTCCTAAGCAGCAGAGCTGCTTTGAAAACTTTGGCCTGCTGTGGGGGTAAACTGTGGGTTCAGGGTGGTGCCCAAAGGCACGCTGGAAAATAGAGCTGAACTGCTAAGGCTACATTCAGTGAGGGGCCCACTCTAAAATCTGAGATGTTACAGAAAAGCACCAGATGATGAATGTCTATGGTCACTGACCAACTGCCAGAAAATGTCAGCTAAATCTATCGAGTTACACTACTGGGAACATTCAGAGATAATGAAGAACTCTGTCCAGACTGGTTTATTTGACTGGTTCTGTCCAGGTTTGGTCAAAGGTCGCGCTTGTGATGTCAGCCAAACCCCGCTTGTAGTCGATTAATGTAGAATAGATGAAAAGGGGAGATGTTACATTGGCGGTCGGTGACCGGAGGGAGGTGACAGGAAGGAAACATCAACAGAGACAGGCCAATGCTAACAGACACAGTCAGGTCCAAGACTAAATGTATGACACAAGGTCATTCTGATTACTTTCACACATGCAGGAATACACATTACTCAGTTGGAAGTTAGGCATACATCACATCTTCTAAATGATGTTCAGCTACTCCTGATGAGAGAGGAGCTACAGCCCTGACCATGTGTGTTCCCCACTGTCTGCAGGGGTCCCCACGCCAACGGAGGAGGCTCTGCACCACACTCTTAACATGCTGGTGCGCGAGCGCAAGATATACCCCACGCCGGACGGATACTTTATCGTTACCCCCCAGACGTACTTCATCACTCCCAGCCTAGTCCGGACCAGCTCCAAGTGGTACCACTTAGAGGAGCGCTCGGCTGAGCGGCACCAGCACCAGAAGCAGCAGCAGCATCAGCAGACCCAGTGTACCTCCCCCCTCTCTGGCACCGTGACCCCGTCCGCCTCCGGGGCGCGCGACCGCACCCCGCTCCCGAAGAGCGGCCAGAACCACTGCGGAGCAGGCGAGGACTTTTTCTACGGCAGCCCCCGCGCGGAGGACCCCCCCAGCCACCACACGACCCTGCAGCGCCGCTCCCCCAAAGACCACCGGGACATGTACTCCTCGCAGCACTCCCCGCAAACGCCCCTCCAGCAAGCCGGAGGCAACACGGAAAAGAGCAAGAGCTCCCTGGGGTTTCCGTTTAAGACGGACACGCTCAACAAGCACCGGGGGGGGCTGGTCGGGGGGGGCGGCGGCGCCAGCGACGCCGAGAAACAGGCAGGGGGGAGCGGTACGGGGAGTCGCAAGTTTGGCCTGAAGTTGTTCCGCCTCAGTTTTAAAAAGGACAAAACCAAACAGCTGGCCACCTTCTCTGCTCAGTTCCCCCCCGAGGAGTGGCCCCTCCGGGACGAGGAGGTGCCCGCCCAGCTGCCGCGCCACGTGGAAATGGAGATCATCCGGAGGATCAACCCCGACCTGACGGTGGAGAACCTGGCGCGGCACACGGCCGTCATGAAGCGCCTCGAGGAAGAGCGCGCCCAGAGGAGCAAAGCCTCGTCGGCCAATCACAGCTCCCGGAGCCGAAGAAGCGGCAGCAGGCACAGAAAGCAGTCCCAAACCAAACTCAGCCGCTCGCACAGCAAGAGCCGGGCGTTCCGCTTCGAGGCGAGCGAGGGCGCCCACGCGGAGCCCGCCGACAGGGACTACAGGGGCTACTCCTCCTCGCTGGTGCGCTCGCCCCGCGAGCAGGCCCTGGCCGCCGAGCGCCAGAGGGCCCGGCTTCACCTGGCCCACAGCATCCCCAACATCCTGGACCCCTCCCACCTACCCGTCACCCCGGAGTGGGACGTGTCGGGGGAGCTGGCCAAGCGCCGCACGGAAATGCCTTTCCCCGAGCCCAGCCACGTCCCGTCGGCGCACCACTCCAAAGTCCACCGCTCCCACTCCCACACCCAGGAGAGGAAGTCCCGGAACGAGCGCAGCGGGAAGGCCAAGGAACGCTCCAGGTCCATGGACAACTCCAAAGGGCCGCTCGGTGCCGGACTGATTGGACCGCCCGATTATTATGACGACCGGAGCCGCTACTACACCGACGACGGCACACTGCGAGCCAATCAGAGCTCCTCTCTCTACACTCGCTCCACACTTTCCACAGCTAAGATATCCGGGGACTCCCTGGCTTTGGATGGTGGCAGGAACTTTGACAAAGGCAAAAGCAGGGAGAGCTTGCCCATGTACTCGCCCAAACCACTGATTGCCTCCAACCCTCCCGACGAATACTTCCAGTGCTCCGGTAACCCCGAGGTTACTTTTGCAGCCACAAACACGCTGGGTACTCTCAGCAAAAGCAACCACGAAAGTTTAAAACTGAGCAACGCCGACAGGCAAAGCGAGAGGCAGCCGTCCCACCCAGGGGACAACAAGGACGACTTGCAGAAGGCGGGCCCCAAAGGCGGCAGCCTGCCTCCCATACCTCTCTCCGTCCTGGAGCCCTCCTCCGTTTCCAACGGACGGTCCGGCCACGGCGCCACCTCCAGTCAAGAGAAACACAAGGAGATCTTCAGTAAAGACACGCTCTTCAAACCTCCTCCCAGCCTCCCTTTGCCTGGTTACAGCTCCTTGAGAAAACCCACAACGAATGCCTCAACGACTCTTTCCTCATCCTGTGACGCCCTCGATTCCCACACAGGCTCGGATGCCCCCAAACCACTGGTGGCCACGGCTTCTGCCCCGGCGCAGGGGCTGGAACTGCCCCCCAGCGCGGCAGAAGCCTCCTTTGACTACTACAACGTCTCGGACGATGAGGAAATCGTGGAGGGTGGGGCTAAAAGTCGAGAAGAGGGCGACAAGCCCGAGGGAAGCGTCGCCGGGTTACAAGGAGGGGGTGCAGGGACCATGAAGTGGCTGTTGGAGAGAGAGAAGGCCAGGGACCTACAGCGCAGGTTTGAAAGAACCCTCACTTTCTCTGGTGCTAAGGAGAACCTCCCCGAGCCCGGCCAGAGCCAGCAGTCGGCTCACTCGGCGAGACTGGACAGCATGGACTCCAGCTCCGTCACTGTGGACAGCGGATTCAACTCACCACGGTGAGAGCACCGGCGTACACCGACTAACGCGTCATCTGATTGGCCGCGACGCAGCACCTACAAATAAACACAGTCTATCAGAAAGGGCACGACGTACAGCAGAACCTATCTAAACTAAATGCGTCTAACAGGCGAATTTGGCAGAAACGTGGGAGAGAACGAGCGTGGCTGAATAGAGACAGAAAAGAACGGTGTTGCTGAGAACTCCCTATTTAAGCTGACCGTACATTTCCCCACGATGCCAGTAACGTGGCTGTGGTTCGGATCGGTCAAAAGGAAGGGCAGATCAATGCGATTTGCAACTTTCAAACAGAAAAGCGTGACCGATTGGTCACCAGAAAGCATGAAACGATTAACCGAAGTAATGTGGTTTACGGCCTCATCAAAATAAGGTTTAACAGTGAGTGCTGGAATCTGGAGTGAATAATGATAATGATAAGGACAATGAACTTTATTTCTAACGCACTTTACATGTTCTAATCTCAAAGTGCCACAATCAGTAAAATACTCAATAAAACAACAGGAGACAAAACCCATGAAATACAAATACGAGTTTCTAATGGTAAAAGAAAATAAGGCAGATATGTCCAGGTATCACATAATTATTACAGCTATGAAATTTTATTTCCAAATGTCTGTATTTAAAAACACAAAAAGGCAAAAACTCTCCCATTTTGTTTAGGACATGGGACATAAGCCAGTAAGCAGTAACCTAACTTTTGATGTGTAACTTTAAATAAAAGCCACTAGAGCCAACAAAACCTTTAAAAAAAGAAAACGATAACTCCAACAAACTATTGAGAGAACAGAAATATTTCCACATCATCTAGCCCTATAGGGGGATAAAAGTCTTTCTTCTTTAAATATGACCTGGTATGAGGTTGAACATTCGGGGTTTGGACAGGTTTGGCTAGCCTGACAACTACAGAAAGGGGCTCGTTGTAACTTGAGATGGTGTGTTAGAGGGAGTGGTACCAACTAGTGATGGACCCCAGCTGCACACACCACTGAACCTTTTTAAGGGCAGGGCTCTTTAAGAGGGACTTGCAGAGAATTTTGAGCCCCAAAAGTGTCCTGGTAGGGAGGTGTTACCATTACGCCCAGCCTGATCCGTTTTAGGGCGGGCCTTGCAGCAGTGAACATTTCTGACTGGTCAAATATGCTAGTAAGCATTTTTAAGGCCCCTCTTTCTTTCTCCGTTATGTCAGCTTTGATATTCAGCTTGTAAAGACCAAGTTTAAGAACAGGAATAGTTTTGGATTACACACAAAGTGTAAGCGGACAGCATGTGGAAGGCGGGCTAACCCTAACCCTACCCATGTTACCTTTCTAAGCCCCCACTCTTCTCCTCCTGCTTTCCTGAATCTAACATCCTATTTTGACTAATAAACCAGCCCCTAACACACTCTCCTCTCATTTTAAACTTCATTCTCTATGCCCCTACCCAGGACCTTTAAGTCTCATCGTAGTGTGACATAAACCAAGAAAGCTGTCTCATCCATTTCAATCACACTTCACAAAATTGTGTCATCATTTAAGAATGTATCAAATTTCAGCACAAAAACTATTCTCAGAATTCTAGTCTGTATTGTAGACATTGACCACATACCACCGTTCACACCCTGGTCTGTCCGCAGAGCCACTCCGTCATCACTGCTCTTGACCGACACGTTTGTGAGCTCCTTCAATATGACAACACAGTTTGTTTTAGTTTTTTTCTGTGACGTTACACAACTGAGCAAAGAAACAAAAAAAAGGGCAAAGCCTCCACCTTTTGCCTTAGTGCAGGGGTCTTCAACGTTTTCCAGGTTAAGGACCCCCAAACTGTTGGCGAGATGGAGCGGGGACCCCTAAGTATATATATATATATTGTATGAGATTGTGCTATATCGGACTGGTCCTATAGTGCCATGTGTAAATGTACCTTGTTATTGGGCATTTAATACTAAGATCATCAAATGATACACAGGTTCATATATTCCTGTTTTTATTGTAAACATCTGGTTCTGGTTCCTGGTTGGTGGGACAGGTGTTGTGAATGAACCAGTGCCCAGCTAGAAAGAGCTCCTGTGTGTCCCTGAATGTGTGTGTTGATAACTGGAAGAAATCTTCTGCCTCCATTTATCTGTTTACTACAGTGTGTTGCATTCATGTTCATGTGGATTTAAAGACATTTACATTAGTGGAAAAAATTGCAGGGGGGGAATGTAAAAAAAAAAAAAAAGTCTAATCAACCTAAACTTTCACGACCCCCATGCAGTACCTCCTGGACCCCCTAGGGGTCGCGGACCCCCTGTTGAAGACCTCTGCCTTAGTGAAACTAATGACATGCCGTTGTGGGATATTTGCGCACACATGAGTAGTATGCCCAGACTTTTTTGCAGAGTTAGGGTGCAGGAGTGTTTGTGCTGACGACTCTTTTATGTGGACAGGACAAGAGAGAGCCTGGCGTCGAACACTTCCTCGATAGTGGAAAGCAACCGGCGGCAGAACTTGGCGCTGAGCCCCGGCCACCTCGGGATCACCACGGGCAACGGCCCCCCTTTCTCCTTCCGCGCCATTTCGGAGCCGGCGGGCACCCAGACGGACAAACTCCAGAAGCCCAACGCCTGCCTGGCGTCCATCACCAGCGTGTAGGCCTGGAGCTGAGGAGCTATGGGGCCAGGCCGAGCGTGAGACCGGAGGTCAGGGGACCGTTAGCCCCGCCCCCCCCCGAGACCGGCGGACTGAGACACTGGAGCTGCAACAGGTCCACTGTGGAAGCGACACTCGTTTAACACCCGCACACACGCATATACACACTGATTACGAACTGGACTCCGACGTCTCTTTAACACTGAAAAGTAGACGCCCGCACACACACACACACACACTTCCATCAAACCACTGGGTTAACTGATCGTGTTACTCGACAGCCTCTAGTTTACATGCTACCGTTCTTGTGTTGTTTTACATACGTGTGTTCTAGCTGTGGATGCGTGCGTGCGTGTGGGTGTGCGTGTGTGTGTGTGTCGGTGTACTGTAAGTATTATCTGTAATCTCAGGTTCTGTTATTCCACTCCCATTCAGAGCATCTTCCTGTGAGGAGCTGCAGCTCTGCTCCAGCTCCAGCTCAATGCTTGTCTCTCCTCCATCATCTGCTACTTGCAGACACCCTTTAAGGCAAGATTTGGCAGCCAACATCTTTTTTTTTATTTAATTTTTTTTATTTAAACGTGCTAGCTAGTTTGTGGCTGTTCCGTTTCCCTAGTGAAAAAAAAAACAGGAGTGGGTTTTTTATTTTTTTATTTATTTTTTGTTCACGGGCCAGATTTCCTGTTCTTTGATTCGTACCACTGCAAAAATATGTCTGAAGACAAAAGCGTCCACTGCAAGGACTGACTAAAGACACCCAGTTGGCGGGTCGCTGATGACGCAGCCACAGCTCCTGCAGGCGTTTTTGGAAAAGAGGTCAAAACTTTGGGAACAGTTATCTAAATAGGTGCTCACGTTGCCAGTATTCCATTTAAAAGTCCATACCGAAACACTCCACAAAAGGAAAGAAAAGGAGAAGTAAGCCCATCTTATGCTTGTAGCTTCAAGTTTACAGAAAGGTGGAGGCGGTCAGCGCTTTCCACAGCCGGGCTTTAGGAAGGAATGAGACGTCTGCCTACGGGCTCATTTCCAAAGGATGTTATGCCGGGGGGGGGGGGGGGTTCCCCACGCCTGTCCCGGGGGTGGTAGACCGTGAGGAGTTTCTGAGAGATTTGAATGTGGTCCGCCTCACCAAAAGCTAAGAGTCACGCGGTCCACCTGAAAGGTTCCGGAGCGCAGAGGCTGTTAGCATGCCCCGTAGACACTAATGTTTTCTAGATAAGGAGTAGTCCAAGAAGCTGTGCCTGTGTTGTCCATGAACTCCACCTGATTGTCACGCGCTCTCGACTGGAAGCGAGCCCCCGCCGGTCCGCTGCTGTCGGTAGATTTCATTGGTCTTTAACCAAATGTTACTGGTCGTGTCTGTGTGCAGTCTTTAGTACGTCACCGCTGCTCATGCTCTTCTCTTTCTTTCAGCCGCACTCTCAAGCAGGAGGAGCTGCATTCGAAATACGCCCCTATAAAAATTGAAATACCATTTGTCCTATTTAATACATCTTCTCCAGTTTGATATGTTATTGGATGTGTTTATTTCTTTTTTTATTAGACTTACAATTGCTGAAAAGTTGTAATATAAAAGTAACTGTCTTATTGTAAGTATTGAACTGGGGAGCTGATGGGGAAATTTTTTAAATCTAAAGAAGTATTGGTTTCCAATATTTACAATAAAATTTTACATTCTAATCTTTAAAGACAGTTTTTCTCAGGACTAGTTATTTCTTCAGACTAAAAAACTTCAAACATTCCACCCACTTCCCATCTGGAATAAGGACTTATTTCTTACCTTTTTTTTCCCACTGTTCATAGAGTTGTGTAACGTTAACTGGTTGTTCTTTGTTTTCTAAGTCGTTGAGCTCTTTAAAAGGAATTCCCAAATTCTCTGTGTTTTGAAGAAAAAGGAACAATCATTTTTTCCAGTTGTTTTGGATTGTATCGCCTTGGTTGTACTTTTTCAGGTCCAACTGGTACTCAAATGGGAAGTTAATATCTCAGAATGAATGACTCATCTCTAAGTACACTTTATACAGTGGAGACAGAACCCACAATGGGGCTAGTTTTATTTTAGCTGATTGCTGCCGTTCTGCAAATATTTCAGATTGAGGTCGAACCATGTTAAGGGCAAGTGCTGTAAACCTGACTAAACTGGTGTATGTTCGTTTGCACATAAGCATGAGTGTAGCACGCTGTAGACGAGAACTTTTTCTATTAACAATCAGGAGAAATGACGGCCATTGCTCTGTTAATCGAAAAGATCAACGATTATTTTTGCCCAGAAATACCCAGGTGGCATTCAAAGTTTGGGCATTTCAGTGATGGTTATCACCTTTGGATTAGGCTGCTGCGAGAAGTGTCGGATAGCTCAGCGAAACGTGTCCCTCCGTCTGCCAACCGAGGCTGACCAATAAACAGGAACTACAGTACCGGCTGAGAGGACTGTGCTTCTTGAATCGCTACTGGATGAAGGTAAGCTGCCGGCCTGCCGGTACGTCCAGGTAAGAGCAAAGTCAGACCCCGTCTGTTCCCACTTGGCAGACGTCTGGTCGTAGTAGGGAAAATTATAGTCTCTTCAGTTGGAAATGCTAGCAGATAAGCCCTGCATATCTAACATCTAAGGAGCTCATCGAAGCGATTGAGATCCAAAGCAGCCTGGGTGAAAATCCAGTGCTCAAGGATGGAAATCACTGAGTGATTACTGGAACAGCAGAGCTTCACCTCACCAGCGATGTGTGTGGACACTTTTGGACTTCGGCCTGCTGTTCTTGGTGCTAGGAGTTAGCTACAGGTGCATACAAGCTTCCGAAACATCCAGAAAAGATCAGAAGACTTCCACAAATAACCCCACCAGTCTGCACTACTGTCAGACACGTCAGTATGTTTCAAAGTTGCCTTTCCATTCATTTTCATTTCTGTTGCTGCTAAGAATTATACCTACTACAAATCAAGTCATGAAACTTTGCGTGAGTATAAAATCAGATGTGTGCTTACACCCCCACAGAAGCTTTTTGCAGGTACTAGTTACCAGTAGTTTCTTCCATTGGCAAGCAGTCCCTGGATCATATTGTGACAGAGCAGAGGTCGGACATCTGATTAAAATCTTCATGTAGAAACCCCCGCACCGTAAAACCAGCCCAACTTCTCTACGTCCAGAATCAGGCCTCCCCCCCAATATGTTTTGTGGTCCCGTGGGTGTAGTCCTCAGCCCTGACTCCAAGGTAGTCTGTAAAAAATTCAAAGCGCTCATTTCTTTATCGAGAGTTCTCGATAAAGAAAAATCTATGGCCACGAACTTTGGGTAGTGACCGAAAGAACAAGATTGAGGGTACAAGTGGCCGAAATTAGTTTCCCCCGCAGGGCTGATGGAATCTCCGTTAGAGATAGGGTGAGAAGCTCGGCCATCCGGGAGGGGCTCGGAGTAGAACCACTGCTCCTCTACGTGGAGAGGAGTCAGTTGAGGTGGCATCTGACTAGGATACTTCCTGGTCGCCTCCCTGGGGAGGTGTTCCGGGCTCGTCCCACCGGGAGAAGGCCCAGAGGAAGACCTAGGACACGCCGGAGGGACTATGTTTCCCGGCTGGCCTGGGAACACCTCGGGATCCCCCCTGGAAGAGCTGGAAGAAGTGGCCGGGGAAGAGGGAAGTCTGGGTTTCCCTGCTTCGACCCCGGATAAGCACTGGAAAATGGACGGATGGACGGATAATTTCTTTGGCTTCATCTCACCTCTGCCACCAGAGGCATGTCTAAGACAGGTAGGCTTCTGGGTTCGGGTCCTCTCTGCCTCTGCGACTGGTTTCAGTCACATATCGAATGTTTGGAAGATCCTTTGCCACGAGCTGACCACAAAGCTAACGCTCGGAGCTGAGCTCTCAATCTGAGTTCTAAATCTGAGTTCACACTGGGACAGGTTGCCGTAAGGACTCCAGCAGCCCCTTAACGCCACATCTACCTCCACCAGCAGTCCACGCAGGTTTTTATCCGTTCCTTATTTACATTTGTGTTTCCACACAGCAGGAATTTCTACCTGGTCGCCACATGAGGGCACCTGCCGCCTCACATCTAACTCTGCTCTTGGTGACTTTTTTTTTTTTTTTAGAGCTCCGATTCCAGAAGTCACAGTTTGACTTTTGGTAAAGGTGTGACATGTTCCGATTCCGTTTAAAGAGACATTTGGTTTATCAAAGAGCCTCCAACTCATTCAATTAACACTTTTAATTGTGTTCCACAACCAACCATTCAGCTTATTCTGTAAAATGTAAGTGTACAGTAATTTGATTGTGTTTTTAAACATGTTTTTTTTAAATAAAATGAGAGGAAAAAAAACACTTGAGTGGAGCGGAGTCTGGAAATGTTCAGGAGAACGTTTGGACTACGTGATCTGGTCTTTCTTCCACAGTGACTCTTCACATCAGAATGTCGAAGGAGGCCTTCTGACGAGCTGGACTTCAAGACGGAAACATCCAGTGTCTCGTCTGATATCTGAATCTGGACTTTATGTGTACCTTTGTCTGCTCAAAAAGGTATTTTACTGTCTGTGGAAACACTGAATAACTGATCATTTCTCTAATTCAAAGCCAACGAAACTGACTGACTGAACTTCTATCTTACTTTGTTTTGCACTTTTTATTTCTTTCTCTCTTTTTTGCTTTAACAGTTCATTTGAATGATTATTTAATGGACATTGTGAGTTTTCTCAGCATGTTCAAGCTGCTTAATTCCAGCCTCCTTGATTCATTCTCATTGATTTCAACCTTGTGTCGTATAGAAAATGCACGTAGTAGCTTAAGGCTCTCTCTGTGTGGAGGAGGTTTGATCAAAGTTACAGAGTTGTGGGTCTAGTGGACTGTGTAGTTAAACCCTCAATGTGCCATAAAAAGCAATCTCCTGGGCCATCAAGGCTTACCACTCCCACTGAAGTCTGCCCTCAAAAGAAGAGGTACACTCCTTATATCTTGTTCTTCAGTCCAGAAGTGTGAAGCTCTCTTTACAGCCATGGTGGTTTATATGATCGGCCCTGGCTCTGAAGGAGGGTTGTAATCTCCGGCCGTGTCCCAGCTGCCCCTGGGGGAGAAGAGGGCTGCTCCCACACTCAGATTCTCACCGGTCAGGTTTAGCTCCTGACCCCCTTTTCCAGAGACCCTCCACTTTTCTACATGGTCCCATCCGCAAACGGTAAGAAAGATGTCCAAAGTGACACAGTAAGTGGATTAAAACCAGACATTATCACCCATCCGTCCATCCCGCCTACTCTCAGTGGGGTCAGAAGGGGCCGGAGAGGGGGGGTTCACCCACCAGCCCATGGCCACTCAATCACATTCACTCCCAGGGGCAGTTTGGCATGTCCAGTTGATCTAACATGCAGGTTTTTGGATGGTGGGAGAAACCTGGAGTAGCTGGAGAGAACCCCCCCATACACACACACACAGGGAGAGAGCATGTGTGTGTCTGTGTGTGTGTGGGTGTGGGTGAATGATAACCACAGTGTGAAGTGCCTGGTGGAACATTTACACACAGAATTAAAGATTAACACAAAAATAAATAAACCAGTACACTCAAAATGTACTACTTAATTAAAATAAGACCTCATGGTAAAATTGTATTTTAACATCCATATATATAAATATATGACTTTGTTTTGTTGTTTTTTTAAATCTATCTATCCATCTGGTTCCTTTACTACGTGTTTTATCATTTCATTCACTGTTTTCAATTGATTGACTACATATTTATTCCTGCACTTTATTTGAACAGTTTTGATTTATTTAGATAAATGTTTTAGATTTATTCATAGATGCATGTATGTATTTTTATTCCCCCCCATGATTCTCCTACCTTTTTCCCCTCTAAAGTTAGTAAATTCAAGCCAAAAAGGGCCCCAGAAAGTCTTGCTTACACCAGTTAACAAAAAAAGATTCCCAGGCCCCCAGAAAGGCCCAAAGTGGAGCTTCATTCCATTGTACTGAGATGTCCCCCCCCATTTACCCATCTCCTGGCGGCCACAGGACCAGAAAGGAGACGATCAGCAGGTTCAAAGCCACGCCTCCCCTAAACCACGCCCCCCGCACAGCCACGCCTCCAGACCAGTCCAATCGGAGACGGGCTGGCCCCCAGGCGGACGCAGGCTCTCGCTCGTCCCGGGAGGCAGAAGGCAGGAGTCATGTCCCCGGGCCGGACCCCCCCTCTGCCCCTGCTGATGTGTCTGCTGCTGGCCGGCGGCCGCCAGCGCGCGCACGCCGCGCGGCCCCTGCTCGTGTTCCTGATCGACGGCTTCCGGTACGACTACATGGACGACCTGCCCGCCCTGCCGGGCTTCGGGGAGCTGGTGGGCAGCGGGGTGAAGGTGGACTACCTGACGCCGGACTTTCCCAGTCTGTCGTACCCCAACTACTACACCCTGATGACCGGTAAGCCTCCGTCAACCCCCCCCCGCCCTCCTCCCACCACCACTATCCCACAGTCATATGTTAACCTGCTGACACATGACCCCTACACGGTCCAGCAAAATGCACGCACGGTGGCCTCAAAGCGCGTGCACGACGGGATGCACGCCCCACACTTTGATCTGACAGCCATTTTAATCCATTCTCACGTTCCAAAAAGTCTTAAAATGGGATGTGTTGTGGAAATATTACCCTTTTTTTAGTGCCTGAGACCATACAAAAACCCTGTGCAGAACCCTGGCATTCCGGTGGGTCTATAGATGTGAAAAAGTTTTTACAAAGATCATCCAGCTGCCTCCCTTTTTATATATATATTTTTATATCTCTGCTTCAACTCAAACCTCATGTTGCATCCATTGTCGCTGATAAAAGCGGGAAAATCTGGTGCTGGCGTCCGTTTGCGTAACAAATAACTCATTTTTGTCACTTTTCTTCATTTCGTGGGAGAAGCTGGGAACACAGAATCGAAAAGGACCAGCGTTAGGGCCTGTAACGCGGAGTCCATTTACATTTCTGGATTTAGAGGACGCTTTTGTTAAATGTGCTGAACAAGGATACAGAGTTTAAATGACAGCATGGGGAGCAGATCCTTTGGTTTGGTCGGAGAAAAAGGGGAGAGAGCAGAAAGAAGAGAAGGACAACGCCAGACGTTGTCTCTAGGAGGAAGGAAGGAGCAGAGTGATAAAGTGGCTCTTTAGGAAGGTGTTGAGGCTCGATGGGAGCAGACCTGGGCATCACAGTGGATTGTAGGAAGAGAGGAACCCTTCGTTGGTGGAAGCTGTGAGGCAAAAGCAGGAGAAGCTCTGGGCCCGGCTAACCCAAGACCGAAGCAGCTGACAGGTCCCAACCTGTTTTTTTTCTTGAAGGCCAAATCAGGAAAGTCTTTCTATTGAACAATCACTGTGATATTTGGGTAGACTGAACAGCCAGAGGCTTTTATCAGGGTTGTTTCGGTTGACTTTCCAGTTGCTTCCAGTATCTCCTCGTATGTCGTTTCTCAGAGTTGGATATGCTTTTTTCCCTTTAGAATTTGATTGGCGTCCGTTTGTTTGCACCTAGGTTGGACTACATATACATTTTTTTTCTTCTGCAGACTGATTTTAACCAATTTTAAGGCCACGTCCAGTAACGCTGGAGCACAAAACCAGGAGTTTACATACATTACATACATTTAAACGGCCCCAATGTCAGTGTCAGGAGAGGCGTGCCCGTTCCACGTTTTTACCCCCAAGATTTACTGCTTGTGGAACACTGGCTAGTTTTGTCTGTAAAAAACACAAACAGTTCAAAGGGTAGAGTCGGGTCAGAGCGCCAGCCGACTGTGTGCTGCACAGAAAGGGAAATGATGATGATGCAGTTTCTATTGTTCCCCACTGTGAGACGGGGCTCCATTTACCCACCGCGCACACACTCGCACAAACACACACACACACAAACACGCATTTGCTTTTCATATGCCTGTGTGGGAACCCTATATCGACACACCAAATTCTCCAACACATGAGTCTAACACTTGTCCTGACCTGATCTAAAGCTAAATAAAACCCCAAATCCTCCATTTTCCAAGTAGGTTTGCGGGTGATCTGGAATGTGTCCTCATCATGTGACCGTAAACGGGGCACATGCACACGATGCTAGCTCCCCTGCAGCATGTATAGCCAGAGTGTGAGTGCTGGCAGCTGGTTTAACGTCCACCTTGGACAGGACAGTTTACCTCCTCCTAATGCTGACTATTAAGTTGAAAATGCAAAAGGAAAGGGTTGGTAAAATAAGAGATCCAACAACCACGCACGCTCACACCCACTCCTAAGGGCTATTTGGAATGTGAAATCAAGCTAACATTGTCACGCAGGTGTTCCAGGACTCAAACGCAACACACCAGGAAGTCCAATTCAACGGTCTTTATTTTTAGGAGGTCTTCATAAATCCAAACACAAAAAACTCTGCCCAGCAGGGGTGACGAAAACAAAAGCAATGTCCACAAAAACAGGAAAATGGGGTGCACAAGGCACAAACAGAATTACCACGAGCTGGCACTGTGGAAAAGTCCAGTAAGGGGCAAAAGGGCTGAGGAGCTCTGCCGATATCCACCAAGAGTCTCACAGATGAAACGAACTAGCAAGAAGGGGAAAAACTGAGGGAACTAAAATACTGGGCAAATGAGGAGGGGAATGCGTTACAGCTGTGAACTCAGGTGTGACGATACCAGGGCGGGAAAACAGGGCCGTAGGTAAAAGGTGGACTGGAACGGGTGACTCAAGTAAAACAAAAGGTGGCTGAGGGAAAAAAAAGGGAATGGACTGGGGAAAAAATGGGCACAACTGTGACAAACATGCAGGTTTTTGGACAGTGGGAAAACATGCAGACTCCACCCAGAAAGGTCCCGGTTTCCCTGGGATTTGAACCCAGCACCTGCTCGCTGTGAAGCGATGGTGCTAACCACCCCTGAAATGATCCCTCTACTGCATTTGGTGCACACGTGGATGGAAAAAAAACCAGGAGAGAGCCAAGGGTTTTAATCTGGAGACACACACAGCTGGTACCTGGCAGAAATGTGGTCTTAAAGCTAGCGCTGGTCCTGCGCTAACTATCAATACGCAGCTGCTTAAAAACAGTACATGCGCAGATAGCTTAACCGTACACGTCGAAATGAGACTGTGTTGTCCAGTAGTTTGTGGAAAGCCTGTGACAGGGACAGAGGACTGATCCATGGGTTTTTTAAACAAACTTCCAGGTCGTCACTGTGACAGCCATCACATGACCGGAAACTACATGTGGGATGAAGACTCCAAACGGGAGTTTTTGATCGGAACCAATCCGGACAGCCGGTTGCCTCTTTGGTGGGATGGTTCAGAGCCACTGTGGGTCACCCTGCAGAAGCTGGGAAAGGACGTTTTCATGTACTACTGGCCTGGTGAGTACATTTACGCTTCTCTGATTGTGTTCTGCAAAGCTATTTCCATGGGCTTTATGTCTATGTGCCAAAAGGCCTTTTGAGTTTCAGCCAGTTCTGCTTTTTCTTTAAGCCACAAGCCAAAGTTCAGCACAAACAATCATTCCAGTGTACATAGCTTGAAATGATTTTTTGTTTATCTAAAAGGAAATAACTCTGTAAATTCTTTTTAGGCTGTGAGGTGGAAATTCTGGGTGTCCGTCCAACATTCTGTGAAGAATACGTATACAACCCATCAGAGCAAAACCTCACCCAGTCAATAATCAATGCTCTGGATGTCCTGAGGTAAGGAGACGCTGCCCTATGAAAAACAGTTCGACTTTAGACCTTGTCCCATAATTAGAACTTTGTGTGAAATGTCGCAGTCACAGAAACGGAATGTGTGTATTTGTGCGTTTGTCTAGGTCAGGAAAAGCCGACATGGTGGCGGTATATTATGAGAAAATCGACGTTGAGGGACACCACTTTGGTCCCGGGTCCCAAGAGGTCAGAACGGCCGTTCAGCGCCTGGACTTGGCCATGCAGACTCTCAACAGCCAAATCAAAGTAATGACCCATCAACGACCGTACCGGCCGCCGTTTTGAGTCCACACCCCTCCCGATCTTTACGCGTGTGCGTTGCTTGTGTTCCTGCAGCTGTTACACCTGGAGAACCAGCTGAATGTGCTGCTGTTTTCAGACCACGGGATGACCAAGATCCACTGGATGGAGAAGGTCATAGAGCTGGAGATGTACATCCACATGTCGGACATCGGGAAGATGATGGACAGAGGGCCGGTGGTCAACCTGTGGCCCAAAGAAAACAAGTACAATGAGGTGAAACTGCTTTTTTCCCCTACTGTTTTAGTCGCACAAAACGGTTAGTCATCCGATGCTACAAAAATGAAGATTAAGATTCATTGATGGTACGACTCCGTGGGATAGATCAGAAAATCTAAAACACAGCATGTGCGATTTAGGCATTTTCTTACACTTATGGATAATTGTGAATTTCTTACAAATCATCCACAAAAGTCCACAAATAATTGGGTTTTAGTGACCGCTAACAACCGCCTGCAAGAGCAGTATTTACTTGTATTACACCTGGTCGGATAACAAGAAGTCACATTTACGGTCATTCATAAGCGAGAGAGTGTTTTTGGGGCGGGTATTTTGCACATCTCGACCACCAAATGAAGTCTGTGGTCGACTATAATTTAGAAGGAATCAAACATGGAAATGCTGACCAACACTTTAAGGACAAAGGAAGACGGGGCCAAACAACTGTCGGAATGGCAAAGCCAGCAGCCGAATGAAACCAAGTAAGGAAACGTTTATGCCGGCTAATCATTACCCGTAACTGCGTGTTGTTGAGCTAGCCAGTTTACTCCCATCATAAAGTACCAATATAACATTATTGGTACTTTATAAACACTTTATAAAGTATATTGGCACCAAATGAAATGAAATCAGTGGACTGACGTCAGGCATGTTAACATGACTATCTCATTCTATCTTAGTAATTGCAAAATGGGCACTTTTCTAAGCACAGAATTGGAATTATTAAGTTTATAACTTGCATATTACTTGTCTGGTGTGTATTACTTGTATGTTGTAACGCTTGGCGTGTTGTATATCATTCCCCCTGGTAACATCATAGCTTGTTTATGATGCTTTTTGTGTTATTTAAAATCTCTGACTTCTTCACAGACCTATGAAGATGGCACGTAACCTCCCCCTCTCAATAACTGACCATCCTCTATTGCCTCAGGGGCAGAAATCCCGCCCAGGTTGAGGTGGCATTCATTGCCAATGAAGATAAACTCGACAAATGGATGACTAGAGGTCAACCTGGGGTTGGATTACTTAATCGGCTGACAGTCTTTCAGCCACAATGGATTCCATATATGGGAAACGGTCCCAGGAGCTACACTGCCCTCCTCAGTACTTACTTGCTACTAGCTACTTGAGACAGGGAGCACTCCAAACATCTGCCAGTGGAACTTGTGGACCTGGATCTTCAGCTAGAAGACCGTCCACGTTGTCAGGACGGGCTCAAGGCAGGACGCAGGAGCAGAGCTGGGCGAATACGAGGACCCTATTAAACAAAGTCGCACTCACAGGGAGTGGAATCGTAAGGCGATGAAAATACTAATCTCTCCTTTGAGGAATAACAAGGCGAAAAAAGTACAAAGAAATGTTCACTCAAAATGAGGACAGTAAGTCTAAGAAAGTAACAAACAATAACCACTCTAAACAATAAAGTACAAAATAATAATCACTCTTACGAGAAAAAACGTGGAGACTCAAGAATAGGAATTCTATGGCAAGGTTAAGCTCAGTATCAAAGGCCGATATGACGAAACACACTGGCCCAGACAAGGGGAACGCAGACTATTTAAACACAAAAAGGGAGGGGAACCCCAGGGGAACACAATCGGTGATTATGGGAGAAAATCAGACAGGTGACACACAGGAAGTACAAGTGACCTGAAACCAGATCCTCGTTCCTCTATAGAACTTTGAAACCATGTTTCCTGTTTGAATTGTTTTACTAAATTGTAGAACCTCTACTTACGATATCCTAAACATACGAATTTTCCAACATCCGAAGTGAAATTCGATCAAATATTCGACTCGACTCAAAATAGAAAAATTTAATACAAATAAATAAGCTTAGTTAGTCTAAGGTTTACGTAGTGAAAGTTGGAGTAAGTTACGGTACGTCCTGTATCTCAGTCACCACCTCTACCTCCACAAAGTGCCAATAAAAAACCTTTTTATTCAGTTACTTTTCAAAATAAAACAGGAAATGACAAGACCAAGACTTGACAAAAACCCCAAAAAAGAAAAACCCAGGTGTGACACACATCAAGCAACAACCCGGAGGCACTGGCTTTCTCCTACCAGAGTTGGCGGCTGAAGTGGTCATTTGCAAGTAGATGACCGGTCACTGGTGATACAACTTTTAAATGTAAACCTGCGCAGTGTCTGCTGTTATCATGCTCATTTAAGAATTAAAAATATTTTCATGTCCATCTATCTGCTTGTTTTTTTTTCTTCTATGTGTTTGATTTTGGAAGCTAAAGAACATTTGAAAGGAACTTTGCAAATATTTTCTAAAGTGTGACGTAACGTAGAATAGCAATTTTTTTTAAAAGGTTTGTTTCATTAATTCGTTTAGGTGTTACCTTTAAGAAGTATGCATGGACAGACTGACAAAACAATCCTTTTAGGAATAATTGGGAAATTAGCGCCAATAAAAACGCAGGTTAGTTGTAATATGTTCCAGGAAAGTTAGGAAAGTTAGAGGTTTCTTTGTGAAACTGTTGACTTTTCGAAGTCAACTTGGCAAAGGGGGGCAGTTTCAAACGAGGTTTCCTGATGATGTGGATTTAATAAAGTTGTGTTTTTGTTTGTGTTTGTTGTGTAACAGGTGTATGCGGCTCTGTCCCGGGTTCCTAACATGCGGGTCTACGGCAGACAGGAATTCCCCGAGCGCTTCCACTACAAAGATGGCCGGTTCGTGTCCCCCCTGACTCTAGTGGCTGAGCCGGGCTGGTTTATTGTCGAGGTAACAAATGGCACCAGATCACATGCCCCCACCCCCCCCTTTTTTTTTTTTTTGTTTATTAATTTAGCTCAGAATCACAAAGATCTTCAGGTAAAATATCACAGACTTTTGTCCGCTTATCACCTCGTTCCCGCATAGAGCTTTGAAAAAATGTTTCCTGTTTGAATTGTTTTACTAAACAGTTGAACCTCTGCTTACGATATCCTAAACATACACATTTTCAAACATAAGAAGGAAAAACCCGAAGTAAATTTCCAAAATACGTCAGTCATAGAAAAAAATATAAAATATAAAAGTAATAAACTAAGTTAGTTTAAAGTTCACAAACTGAAAGTTAGAATAAGTTATGGTACATCTTGTATCTCAGTAACCACCTCTACCTCCACAAAGTGCCAACAAAAAACCCTTTTTATTGATTATTTCTTTATAATTTATTCATTTTTACCTCTCTTATATTCTGATTTTTTATTGCTATTTGTAATTATCTGCTGTATTTATTTAGGAGCTATCGTATGTTTTTGGGCTGTGGAACGGATTATTCAAATGACAGTGTATTCTGATGGGAATATGTGAACCAACATACGAGTATTTTAACATACAAAGTAGTTCCTGGAATGAATTAAATTTGTACGTAGAGGTTCTACTGTACTGTAAAGCTCGTGAATTCAGTGAGAAAGAGCGTTTAGGTTCTTCTCCAAATCTTTTGATTGAGCCCTTTAAATCACCTCAACTGTGTCCCTTGAAATTGTCTCAAATTTGTGTGTGTGTGCGCGTTTTTTTGCAGAATAAGACTAAACTCCCCTTTTGGAAGAATGACTCCGGGGAGCCTTCAGCGTGGCAGAACGGCTGGCATGGTTATGATAATGAGTTCCTGGACATGAGAGGATTTTTCCTGGCAGCGGGACCAGGTGAGAAACCTATTTTGATGGTATACGCAAAGCCGGCATTTACACGTGGAGTCGAGTTAAAAATAATGATTTGGGACTTAAAAAAGGACTTAAAAAAGGACACGGCCAGGGCCACAGATGAGACAAATGTTATGTTTAACCAGAAGACAGCATTTCACATTCGTAATATCTCCTAAACAAGAAACCTTCTGTCTCAGTGATGCGTTTCAGGATTCACCTTTTGTGTGGAAAGGCTGAAAAAGATCAAATTTATACCGTTTTAGGGAACTCACGTTTTTTTTTCTTCCATTCTTTCCAGACTTCAAACGGAATGTTCGCGCAGCTCCGATCCGATCAGTGGACATCTACAATCTGATGTGCTGGACGTTAGGAGTGGCTCCCCTACCCAACAATGGCTCCTGGTCTCGGGTGGAGTACCTGCTCAGTGGTTCCGACGGTCCACTCCGGCCGGCGACCCGCTGGACATGCTGCTTTAGTCTGTTAGGACTCCTCTCGCTAATGAGGAATTAAATAATTTTTTTTGCCTGAAGCGCCCGATAGATGCCTTCAACCGCCGTAAAACAGGCGAATAATGTGCAGCTTAATCTAAATGAGTAGAACAAAACGAACAGAGACGAGCCAGAGTGAGACGTTTGATCCCGAAATGGTCCCCGAACATGGGAGACAGACTTTGACCCGATTCCTGAGGTGGAAATATGCTAATAGCATCTTAAAATGTGTGCATGCTCTGGATCCCGTGTGGCTGAGACATCATTAACAGCATATTTACAGCAGCCTGGACCTGCTCCCGGTCCTCCACCATAATACTTCTGCCAATTGTAGTAAAAGGGAACTTTTAAGAGATTTAACTGTGACTTTCCGATGATTTGTAAGCATAAAAGTGTCTTTCTTTCTTTTAATTTTTTGGACTGCAGCACATTTCTAGTTTTTTACTTCACTGGAGATTGTTGAGGTTGTTTGTGTGTGTGTTCAAATTGACATATAGACATATCTGATAGATTCCAGCAGCTGAATTGATGAAGCGATTGAGTAAGATTCCTAGCGAGGCGAGCGATGTCTGCCATAGCCTGTTTATTCCACAAACCGATTCCTCCGTTTGTCCCGTCTGTCCCGGGTTGGCACATGTCTAACAACACGTTTTGGGACTCATGTTTGGCTTCAGTCACCGGCCTCTGTATCTGCTGGTGTTGTGTCCCCAGTGATGAGCCTGATTAATAAATTAACTGAACATTACCAGTTGTCCCGGGACCCCTTAAAGCACGCCGGTGTGGTTTCAGACTGCTGTTGCCTTTAGTGTCTCGTTTGAAATTTGGCGGCTTAGTCAAACAGAACGACAGTTTGGTGTCAGAGGGAAATGTCCGCACATCGGATGAAAGTCCTATTTGTGTAGTATTTTATTAGCTAAAATCATTGTCTTCATTTATAAATGTGTCCTCATTTGGTGTAAAATGACCTCTGCAATGATCTGGCTTAAACGAAGAATTTCTTATTTCCTATCTGTATCTACACAGGACGGGTAGGTCCACAGAGGTTTCCATGGTGTTCCACCATTTTTAAAAAACTATAAAGGCAGAGAGGGACATAAAGCACTAGTCTAGCTAATGAAACCAGCTGTAATAAGTGAGAGACCCTCACTCCTCATCTCGGTGGGCAAACCCTAAAGGACAAGTCAAACCCAGAACCAGTCCGACCCAATCACTGAAAACTGGCCTGATAATATGCCTTTCACCTGAAGACCAGCCAAAATCACGTCCGATAGAAGCTTTTGGGAATTTGCGCTCCTCGGTTTGACGGTAAAGAAAGTTCCATTAGGCGGTTCTGAATTGACTTTCAAATTCCGTGAAACGAAAACGGTCCTGTTGTGTTTCCCACGAGCCGTTTTCAGACAGATTCTCAGTGGAGAAGATATTTTGAAATAAAATCTATTTAATTTAGAAAAATATATATTTACATGCGTCACTTCATAAAAATAGACTCTTCATAAAAATAACCTGGGTGTTTTTTTCTAAGCCTTTGTTGACCCGGTCAGCGTGGGGGCTGTCCAGCCCGCTCAGGGTTCGGCCTTGGACAGACACTGCAAGGAGGGCAGCCTCCAGCGACGAGCGCCGCTCTGGATCCTGAGGTCCAGCCACTCCTGCTGGACAGGACCCAGAGCCAGACTAGGACGCAAACAGAAAAGGTAGAAAAACCCACATTTCAGCCAGTCCGACCTGAGTATTGCTAACAATGAATCTTCTTATTGGCTACTTGAACTCTGACACAAATGTTCTTCTTTCCTGATAACATCAGAGACAATGCACCCTGTCTCACACAGAAATGAAGTGCGATGCAAAATTAGTAGTGTACTCTGAACAGTTAGAGCAACGGTGGAATTCTAGCCACAGCAGGAAGGAACCCTCACAAAAAAACAACACCATGAATAAGTGACTCAGAAATAAAAAGCAGATACAAAAACAGAGGGCTCCACATTAAAGCTGCTTGCGCTAATGTAAAAAAAGTCTCAGAATGCTGCATGCTAGCGTCAAATATCGCTTCTAGTTTGGGACCGTTTGGGCCCAAATTTAAAATTTAAAATACATTTGTCACATTTGCACCACATAATACAAAAAAGTACCGTTAACTGTGCAGTATCCCTTTTCTAAAGATGTAAAACTACCATAACAACCAATAAAAATGTATGAGTGCTTTGTCTATAAGAATGATAATGTATTGAAAATAAAAAAGATCTAAGTTTATGTAAGACCCTACTTTCTGCTACACAGAAAGTCAAATTGTGTGGTGTCAAAAGTGCAAAACAAATATGCACATTCTTATCTTTTGCTTCACACAATTCAGCAGATTTGTGTGGAACAAAATCTGTTGATTACAAATGCACATGTAACTAATGGTTACATGTGCACTTCTATGGAGTCACAACCTTTGTCAAAAGCTAACTAGCAGTTTAGTTGGTACCTTGGGGCGAGATAGGGCTCTGCGGAGGTGGACTGGTCCACTGCGTGGAGGTCACTGGTCACCACTGAAGGATCGGACTGTGGCGGCTCCTCGCACTCCACACAGCCCAGGTTGGTTATGTTGGTGGCCACTGGGGTGTCGATGCTGTCCCTGCCCCTGTCGGCTGGACCTGAGGGGTCACACGCATCCTGCAGCTGGTACCGGGCGGCTTTCATTAGAGCCACCCCTGATTATCTTCAGAACCCGGCCATTTTGTTCTTCGAGTCGTTCCGAAACAGACGTTTTTAAATCGATACTGCGCTGTTTTGATAGGATTTCTGATTAGGATCCAGGAGCCCACCCCGACTGACCACAGGGTGATGTGCTGGACTAATGAAGGCCTGCACGGTTAGCGGTGGAAGAAGGTTCCTGGATGCTGGGTTCTGGCCGGGTTCGCTGACTACAGACATGTGAGTGTGCATGTTTGTCTGTCTGGAGTCTGTGTGTGTGTGTGTGTGTGTGTGTGTGTGTGTGTGTGTGTGTGTGTGTGTGTGTGCGGGGGGGACGTCCAGGGTGTACCTACGTCTCCCCCAAAGACAGCTAGGACAGGCTCCAGCCCCACATTGGTGTAAAGAACGGATGGGTAGATGTACTAATTAAATCCCCAAGAACTGTAGTAATGATACAGATTCCTTTAAATTCCTTTTAACTAGTGACTGTGAATCAAATGGAGTTTGAATCCTAACTTAAAAGGTTGTCTTTGTCTTTTGGAATATGCATGACTTATTAATTTTATTTGGTATATCTAACCTTTGTTTACCGGGCAAATGCTTGAGCTCAAATTGTTACAAACAAGGCCTGGCCAGCAACTTTTGATTTACAAATTTAAATTACAAACTTAAATGAATTAAAATTACAAACAAATTTGAGTTACACAGGACAACACGTTACACGACTCAGCAGTACAGAATGTGTTGCTGAAAATGAGAATATTGAGAGGATACCATGTCCGCGTGCCACTTTACTCAGAACAAAGGCGGGTACCTGGTCGGAATACCGTGCAACTGTGACTGACTTACTGTTGTGATACTCACAGCAATGCCTGAAAGGCTCCCAGGCCGTGCACTGCTGGTAGGGCTTAGCCTGGGGCTGCTGGAGCAGACAGGTCACCGCTGAGTCCACCTGCTGAAAAACCCTGTCGAATGAAAAAAAAAAAGAAAAGAGCTCAAATCACTTCCTGAGAGTTGAACATGCCAGTGTATTTCAGCCTAAATGCTCGTTTGTATAAAACTACTGTATTCAGTGGTTGATTTGTCACCCTTTGGCAACATTTTGAGGTCTGTGGGAACTTGTTATATCTCAGTCCGATGCAGCATCTCAGACACTTTTCCTAGAAGGCCGGACGGTTTTGAATCTTGATATCGGGACAAAGGTTGGGCACATGTTGGCAGTTCTGTTAACTCATTCGCTGCCAAAGACGTCTATAGACGTCTTTTATGTTTTTCAATGCGAGTGACTTGGGGGACGATCTGCTAAAGCTTGTCCGTAAATATCAGGCTTCTAGACAGAGTATGTAGTAACAAATTGACCCTCTAGGGAGCAGTGCCACTTTTGATGGGAGATGAGCATAGATTAATAAAAAATAAAAAAAACGCAATGGTTCGCTATGCGAGAAATGACGCCGATGAGACGCAAGTCGGAGAAGAACGGAATATGGTAGAAACAAATTTTTTTTTCTTGATGAAAGAAGAGAGTCTACTCTTTCTTTTGGTGTGTTCGGTGTTTACATAGTCATAGTACAAACTATTCTGTGGCTCTTGAAAAATCTGTCAAAATGCTCAAATAAACTCTGGCAGTATGGGACTCTCTGTTCTGAAAATGGCTGGCAGTGAATGAGTTAAAGGCCTAGCTCAGAATCCCACATGCAACCGAGTGGTCAGGAGAGCCGGTCCGCATGCGGACAGATGGACACGGATACCTGAGGCTGAGGAGGCGCTGGTGCAGCTCAGCCGACAGCCCGTATCTGTCGGACTGGATCAGCTCTCGGATGGAATCAAAGTCCTGCTTCAGCTGCAGAGCGCCCTGCACACTGAGGACAAACGGAGTGCTTTCACTGGTCAGAAACAATGACTGCCTATCACATTCACTACACACACCTACAATTTGTCCTTTTTCCCATTCCATACCCCTCTAATCTGATATTTACCAAAACCTCTTACAACTTCATATACTTGAGAAGTGATTTCTGTTCTTTGTACCCAGTTCCTGGTATTAAAATCCAGTTGATATATTCTATACTGGTGTCATGCACTCCTTATACCAGTGAATTAAAGTTCATACGTCTGGATATATAAAATAAAATAAATAAAAAACATTTAAATCAAGTTACCATTCTTAGAACATGGAATAAAAAGCTAACTTAAACTTCATCTGAGCCCAAAGACAGATTTAGCTTATATCATGTAACATCATGATACAATAGAAAGTTGCTTTTGAAAAATAAGATTATTTAATTATCATCCCATCTGTTAATACACAGTTCCCACTGGTGAAATCTATGTTGGAATGCATCCATGGTTTGTTATTACAGAAATCTAGATGAGTGCATGCACATACAAACACACATATTGTAGATTTATCTTCAAAGATATTGAGATATTGACGATCGTTTTTAAAATAAATGACTAACTTAAAAACAAACCTGAATTTGATCTTTTGTTTCAAGATGTGTTCCATCCATGCCTCCATGAAAGCAGTCATTGTGATGCTCAGCGCTTGGTCTCGTGCATCGTCAGGCAAAGGCTCCACGCCCTCTAAGACCTGACCAATCACAGATTCAGCTGCCTGTGATGCGTATGCGCTCGGACAGCTGGGGAATCCTGATCAGAAACACACACACACACACACGAACACTTTTACACAATGTCGAAAAATTATTAAAACCTATTTTTGTTGTAAATTTTTAGAATGAAGTTATTAAGGCCCATTGGCTCATCTTGTTGAAAAAACAATCCAAACCTCACCAGCATTCAGTCAGATAGGAGATTCTAGCAGGGCTAACTTGTTATCTAGGAAATGGTCAGTGGTCAATAATCCGGCACAAAGTGTTTTGACTTTAAAATCTCTGTTAGAGCCTCCAGCAGATCCACAAAGTGCAGCCAGAGCTTTAAACAGTTATCAGTCCAGCCCAACCTCATAAAACTACAGAAAACCTAAAAAAAATAAAAATATCCTCTCAATCAGTGTAGAAAGCCAAGAAAGGATCTGGTTTCTCTCCTCTTGACATTATAATTGTTTGTTGTGAATTGAAGTTTAAACTTACTCGATTCTCCTGTATCCCCCATAAGTGGCTTTAGATAAAAGCACCTATAAAAATAAATAAAACTGAACTGACTTGCTCCCGGTTCGAATCTCCGTGTTTTTCTGTGTGGGTTCTCTCCCCAAAGATGCTGTAGGCTACTTTTGCTAACTCTCTATACGTGTTGAGGCTGTCTTTGTGTTGTTCTTCTAGTCGCCCCACATCATCCCTTCGTGTCTCCATTGTGTTTCTTATTTCTTCTGCCTTTGGATTTGTACCCAGAGGACTTTTGAACTGACCCGGTTTGTCATTGGAACAGCTTCTAGATCTGTCACAGCCCTGTTTTTCGACGTTTTTTACTGTACTATAACACAAGGTTAAAGGGCTCAACATAAAGCGTGAATCCTTGCCAATCAGCTCTGTACTCGTATTAGTGTCGAACTTGAGGCCAGTTTTAAACAGACTATAAGAAGTGACTGGGATACAGAAGGAGGACTCCCTCAGAATTGAAATGGGCTCCGCCAGTTCTGTCAGTCCCAGTAATCCAACAACCAGCCCACAGCCGGATAGCCGTACCTGTCCTGTGGTTGGGTCTCCAGTGGACGGCAGAGGGCATGGTGCGCTCGAAGATCTCCCCGGACATCCGCTTGCAGTCAGTGGAGAAGGTCCTCAGCACCAAAGACGAGAAGGTCTAGTGGACATGCACCAGAGGCACCAGTTTAAACATCTGAATCATTTGTTTTAGATCATAATCCATTTAATACCCCATGAACAATTTCTAAAGTGGCACAGATAGTAAAAGGGTTAGGCGGAAAATAAAATGTCCTGTGCATAATGTGGTTCTAACACAGATCTATGCATAAGCACAGCCAGCAGCAGAACAGTTGTGTAGTTCTGCTTCATTTTCTTTTTAATACCCACAATCTCTAAGAGCTCTAAATACCTGAAATGCTCCAAAAACATTTTTTTCCGGAAATAGGTTGCATAAAAAGCTGAATTGTTTAACGTGGCTGCAGAATAAGTGTGATGTGGCACCTGCAGGCGGGAGAGAGCCCCATCTAGTGCCTCCAGTTGCTGCTTCAGCAGATGCTGGTTGTGTCTGAGGGCAGTGGGATGGTGATCCGCGTCTACGGGGACCACCACGGACCCAGTCTGCTGCTTCACCGTGTCCAGTGACTCCATCAGCATCTTCAGAGACAAAGGAAAAACACTTGGTGATTACCACAAGCTTAAAAAACAAAAAAACCTTTGCTCTGATTTTCCTTCCTTAGGTCCTCCCTCGATCCAGCCTCTAGCTGGCTGGTGTCTTTCTAACCAAGTCCCACTGAACATTTAACAGTTTTTAGTGTCAAAGTCCTCTTAAAATCAAGAAAAGCCTGACATCATTACTGTGTGACTTCCCGATTTGTGAAACCCCGGCATCAAAATGATGTGTGACCTTATTCTTTTGCGGGATTCTAAGTGAACAACGTGCCTTCATGTCTCCCTGCGTGACCAGAAGGAATTTATTGAGACTCCAGGATGAGAGGAACTGGTATGCCTTGGTCATCACCCACACGGTGGACAACTGCACCGAGGCTAACAGCAGGCTGACCGTCTGTCTCTGTAGTGCAGACCTGGATGGGAGGAGGCCAAAAGAACCTGGGGAAGGATGGGGGGCCAAGAGTTAGAGGGGGAAATAAGCTCTCGTTCACAATGTCACAAACATACCAATGTGATAAAGTGACAAAGAAAGAAAATACTTTTTCTTCCTGTTTTCCTCTCCACTATGTGACCAGTTTGGACATTTTGGACAGATGGCCAAACACGTGAGGGAGCTTTGGCAGTTATGCTGCAGTACGCCAGCTCAGACTGACTTGTGAGTGACCGACTAAATCCGCCAACGTCGTGATGAAATGAAAGAAAAATGAATGTTTTTTGCTTTTACCTGAAGCCGGGCTGTTTGGCTGAAGGCGGCACAGAGATGACATGAGGGGTGGGAGCAGCAGCAGCATGTTTTCCATGGTATCTGACGTGACCAATGGAGCCGTAAAACAGGTGCCATCATTTCTGAGACACTTGTCTTTCAGCGCCGAGCCTAAACTTCTGCACGCCACTATGGAAAGACACGTGGAAAAGAAAAGGACAAAAATACAAAGTGTGATGCAGTAGGACAGTACAGTGTGAAGTATCGGCATAGATTGTGTTGTAATAACAATTTAAACTATCTTTTCCTTTGTCAAAAGCTAAAATTGATCAGTTAAATTATCTTTGCATTTACATCTATTTAGCAAATAGAAGAGCATCACCATCAGTTATTGATGAGTACCAGTGTGCTCAGAACTGGTCTGATTAAAAATCAGATCTATATCAGTTTTTGGCCCATCCATTTATAGCTTAATGAATAATCAATGGATTTGAGCGCACTACGTTTTCAGGGCTGCCGGGTGAACTCACCACAGTCCCAGACAGCGTGCGCCCACACGGCCAGCAGATGGAGACTGAAATTCTCCAGCATGGTTTTGCACTCCACTGGAAGCCGACCTACAGCAGACAGGAGAACCAGAGACATGTTAAATCAGCGGCCATCACTGACGATCTTTTACCCCCCCCTACTCACACCTGAGCTTGGAAACCTCAATCTCAGCACGCCATGTTGCGATAGCATAAATAGAATATAATTTTACCCCAGGAAAGACATTAGTATCAGACTGGACCATGCATTTGAAAATTAAGGATCTAATATAACGGAATGAGGGGCAAAGATATCAGAATATCCTCAACCTCAGTCTGAGTGAGCATGAAGGTTCTAACCCTGTTTTCTTACAGCATTTGTACCCTTTTATTTTTAATCGTAAGGATTAATATCCAACCTCCTTCCAACCCGGTTACAACCCTGTTACGTCCTCGTTCCAGCTCATCTCCAACCTCGTTCCCACCTAGCACCAGCCTCCTTCTAACATGGCAACTGCTGTAAATTGATAATACTCGATACATAAAATGAATGATCTCCACTTTGAATCGTGCAGCTAACCCCCTTTCACACCATCCACATTATGCTTGGCAGCAACATCACTGTTTTGATAACTAGTTGTATAACTCGGTGTGCATTACCTGTCTCTAAAGCCTGTGTTATCCTGTGCAGGACTCTGAAGGCTCCGTGGTTGCCTTGAACGTTGATGCTTTCAGAGTGACTTCCTGCCTGCGGTACATGCAGTTTGAGGCTAAACGCCTTGCTGCAGAGGTTCCAGAGCAGATTGTTGTACTCTCCGCGCAGATCGGCCAGCAGCAGGGACTGACCCAGGTCCAGCCACTGCACGGAGTGTGGCCAGTGGACGTCCCCTGGCTCGGCCAGCGTTTCCTGTGCTCCGACTCGATCCTCCTTCTCGGGGTCACCATCCCCCGGAAATCCAGAGCTGAAAAGCAAAATATGCTGTCATCATCACAAAAAAACAAACTGCACAGCTCAACCTACTCTCCAAAGTAAAGTGATCATGGACAGGACTTCGAATACAATGCCTCCAACACTGGACACATTGTCCGGTGAAGGGTGAGGTAATCATTCAGAAAAGGCTGCCTCTTTGGGACAATAGCTGCATATTGATTAACCCAACATACATGTTTTTTGAACATGCAGAAAGGTCCCAGTTCCCACGGGGACTCAGACCGGGAACCCCCGGGAATTTGATGACAGTGGCACAAAAAGTAGATGCTTTATACTCTTTTTATGTCCGTGTGTATACTCTCATTAGCTATAATACCCTCTGGGTGGGAGACGGAAGCTTCAACAGGGGTCCGTCAAGCTAAATTTATTCTGTTTTTACGGCTAGTGTATCAGTAGAGGCGAAAAGTGTACAGAGGTGGATAATCTGGACACGTGTTGGTCAGAATGGGAACAGCGATTGATGAAAAACATGTCTGAGTTGTCTTTAAATAGCTGCTATAAAATTCTAAGATTGGATTAAGGTCACCGTTTTTCTAAAAGACGCAGAAAGATGTGGCTTTCTGCATCTTTCCATCTGACTTTTACGTTTAGTTTAATGTGCAGGAATGATTTGACCCACTTTTTTGGGTGTGTTTGTGCGAGTTAGAAACACTTCCTAGCTAAGCGCTGAAATGTTGAGAAGAAAAGAGGAACATTTCAGATCAATGACCAATCTGAGCTGGATGTGGAACGTCCTTACCTGCTCGTGACTTTTGGCCTTGTCGTTAAATCCCGCTCAGCGCGGTACAGCGAGGCTCCGCCTGAATTTTGGCACTTTTGGCTCCCTTTGGGAGTCTCTTTGTTCGACCCGGATGGATGAGCCGTGTTCTGGCCCGGAGCGCTGTCGGCCCTGGCCGTGTCGGGAACTGTGGTCAGCAGCAGCCTCTCGGCCGGCTCGTCCACGGTGGCTCTGTGAGGGACCAGGGGGGCCAGCAGGTCGCTGGAGGAAACGAGCACCTGGAAGAGCAGCTCCACTGAAGAATTGTTCAACTGCGGGAGGGCGGCGGGACCGTTGAAAGGCGCGTCAGGGCGGTGGGGTGTTTGCAGTATTTCATCGTTCCCAAAAAGGATTTTTCTTTGGGCATTTGTCTGGACTGAGTCCAAAGTTTCAACTCTGCTCTGCGCTAGCTGAGGCTGGGGGGTGCGTGTTCGGCCTTTTTTTCCCGGGCGCTTTGCTCGCTGCTGGATGAAGCTGGGCGCGGCCAAAGTGCTTTGCTGGTTCTCCGAGCTAACGGTGTCCGAATGACGGTCGGAGACGTGAACGGGAGGGGAGAACCTCAGCGTGGGTTGACTGCCGAAGGGGTCAGGGGCCGGAGTTAGGTAGCCATGTTGTAGCTGGTCCCAGGTCCACTCGGGCCTCAGCATGGAGGCCCAACAGCCGCAGCCAGCAGGGCGTCCTTTGGGGCTGGTGGGGACTTTAATGATGCGTGGGTTCTGCTCGCAGGTCCAGCTGTGTAGCTGCTTAGCGACCATTTCTGCTTGATGCATGGTAAAAACGGTCATTAGGTCTTTGACTGAGAAAACAGAGGGATGGTACCTGGGAGCCGTTGGGAGGCTGGTAAAGACTGTGGGATAGTGTGCCTGCTGTAGAACTGCTATCCTCAGCTGGGAGGCGGCGTGCTGCCCCCGGTGCTCCTCCACCACCTGGTTGTACAGCTCCGTGCCCGTCAAAATGTCCTCCAGAACTTCTCTGGGCACGGAGTCCGACTGGGTCCTGCCCACGGCCGAAAGCACGGCGAACACGTACTGCTCCATCAGAACGAGGAGCTGCAGGCCGAGCAGGTCCAGAGTCTGCTTCATGTCCTCCAACAGCCTGCCCTGGTGCACGAGCGCCTGTCTCAGGGTGGGGTCGGAGTAGACTTTAGCGGACAGGCGGCACCAGTGGTTGAGGTGGACTCGGAGCTCCTGACTCAGGGAACTGAGGCCAACGCTCAGCGAAGAGCAGCTGGAGGGGGTCTGCAGAGGAGAAGAGAAAGGTTGGGTTTAGAAGGAAGCCCTAGGAGCGCTTCGTGTTTCAGCGGTGATACCATGAATGCATCAATCATGATCACAACACACAAAAAAAAGAGACACTCTGGAAGATTTGCTGGACTGGACGTAAGCTGTGCCATGAGCAGATATGTGCTATGCTAATCTAGAGAAATTACAGAATCAGGCAATGTGTGCTATGTGGCTGCAGCCCCTCAGCATTTTGCCCCTACATTTTGAAAACCAGACCTACATCCAGGTCATGCCACAGTACAATCATGTACAAATCATGTCTCCTTCCCCCTGCTGCGTTCTCCCTACAAGTGCAGATAAAGAGACTCCAGGAAGTTATTTCTAAACCCTTTCTATACTGACCTCTACACCACTCTACACGATTCCCATTTGAGTTCCAGTGAAAACACTAAGTATACGTCTTCTCCTTTCGTTTCTACGATTTGGTTAAAGTGCAGGCTTTTCTTTAGTAACAGTTCTAAAAATCCCTATGCTCTCTTTTATCCCACCCGCCTGTGTGGGCAGAGGATTGGTGTGGCCACTCTGCTGCCTGTACATAATGATGAGCGGTTAACATCATGTTCCTGTTCAGCTATGAGAAGCCAACCAAAAAGCTCCCGCCCCACGCTGTGTTAGAGCCTCCACCTGCACAAACTGAGGGACCTGCGAACCAGTGCTTATTTCTCGGGGACAAGCCATTTGACCCCTGACCTGGTTCTGTGGAGGGGCTGCGGTGGTCAGGAGCTGCTCCAGCAGGTTGTTGACCCTGCACACGTGTGCAGCTGCCAGGCGGACCCTCCGGCTGTACTCATGTACGAACAGCAGCAGAGATCGCTGCTCCAGGAGCCTCTTCAGAGCCCTGTACTGCCCCTGGATGGAGGGCGAGTGCAGAACAACGCCACCTTCGGGCGGAAGGCCCTTAAAACAGACCTGTTGGAGAAGAAAATGGAATTTCTCTGTTGGACATTTTGACGGCGAGCATCTCGGTTACCAAAACAAAAGGCTAAACAAAGCCGTTCTCACCTGGGGAGAGCCCATGGGTGGCCCACCCACCAGCTGCCACTGGCTGGCCACAGCCAGAAGAAACTGCTGGAGACGCTGGAGACGCACAGAGGACCGGGACACCAAGTTGTGGGCGACCACAAAGTTTTTCTCCTCCTCATCCTGACTGTGGTCCTGGAACAGCCACCTCAGGCTGGGGTTAAAGGTGCTTCTGAGCAAACTCTCAGCCCTCTGCAGGGAGCGAGAGATGGAGCACTGGGACCAGTTACCTGCAGGTCAGCAAAGCAAGTGAGAATCAAGTCCAGGAAAAGGGACGGAAAAGGGAAAATTGGACCGAAACTAGACACGTGCAGGGCTAGACTCATACAATTTTGGCTCAGATCATCCACGACCATGCAGGAGTTGGATCTCTTCTGCAAGAAAAACAAAAGAATCCTAATTAGAGAAGGCCATCAGCTGGCGCAGTACAGACTCGTTCAACTCACCTGCTCCTTGTCTGGACACAGGGACTCACTATTCTCCCAGTCTGAAAGAGACACACAAAGCCCAGAGTAAACACAACACTCACAACTAAATTAAAGAAATCAACACAAGGAAGAGAGCCATTTTCTTTTCCTCTCAGGATTTTACGGGCTCTAGGCTGTGCTCAGAGCTCATTTTCCACTGTAAAGCGACGTTTTGGATGGTTAGAAGATTAAACTAACTGAAGCTGTATCTGTTTAAATGATGGCATCACTGTACTGCTTGGAAGCATCCATTTGAAAAATACTGCTGTCATATTATAATCACTTACTGTTTAGTGTAAAATGTACTTGATTGTCATGTATCTTGGGAAGTCTATTTGGAAAAAAGTGTGCTCAGTCCAGAAATGTAAATGTTGTTGATGGCAGGTCCTTATCAGGCCTCTCTTATATTTTTTCCTCTCTGGGCTTCAGAACTAAATCTTTCTGCCCAGCAGCTAATGAATGATAACAGAACTGCCCAGTGTTTGTCATCTCTCCTTCCATCCTCTCAGAAACAGCAAAAGCAGACACAGGAACTTTGCTAAACTTCTGGGAATATGAGGCAGCTTTTTGCTGTCAGCAGAGCTTTTCTAACTGAAACTGAGATGAATTCAAAGCCCGGGTTTCATCCACGTTATTTACCAGCTCAACAGGAGTCATATGAACCGTAGACACGTTTAAAACCCCATACTGTGCGTTCCTTTGATCGTGCGATGCCAAAATGAGGGTGGATTCTCTGTGGTTTACTAGGAGCGTTCGCACTGGCTGAACCAGTCATCCAAGCTTCACGTTTGTGTGTGCATCACCTGCTGTCATCGCAGGCCCTCCGCCAGGGTCTTTGTAGCTCTCTGGGCCAGCGTGATCCATCTCAGGCGAAGCGAACTGTGAATATGAAGCACACACAGAGAAAAGTCAGCACACTGATAACCTGATTTCACTTTGCTCTCAGAGTACATGGACAGCAACCACCCGATGGAACCCTTACTACATCTCTCTTCGCAAAAGAGAGATGTGGCTCATTTCACTTTAGACTTGTCCTGAACCTCTGACACAATTTATAAATTAAAAACTAAATTATAGAATGCATAAGTCCATCTTACATGGACTAAAATGATAAATGATGCACAAATAATCACCTTATTTCCATGTTAACTGAGCCTGTTGGTCACAGACATGTAAGTATGTAATGTGGAGTTTGTGAGCTCCAACTGTCTCTGTGACATTAGTCCTTTTTAATCTCCAACTCTCCGCTTGTTGATCTGGTTTCACTAATGCAACACGCTATCCACACTGATGAGGACTCTTCCGGTTTAACAGACGCCGTTGCTACCGGCAACCACAGCTCGGAGTTTACTAGAAACCACCAGGTCTGTGACAGGGGGACCGACGTTCAGCTGCTCAGGCACAAGACAGGTTTCCCCGTCCCTGGAATTATTTACCAGCTATGAGGGAGCCTTCGTCCACATTCGGCGCGTCTCGTTCCGAGGAAAAGGACTCCTCTTCATCTTTCAACTGCCCCATGTTGCTAATTAAGGCATCGTCTTCTCCTCTCCTTATCCCTCTCGCGCTGAGAACTCCGTCCCACAGTTGTTTCATCTGTACACATATACTTCTGCTAGCGCTTATAGTCACTGTCGGCGGCAGCCATTATTGTTTCACCTTCTAGACTCCTCTGAAAAGTGCTGTTAATCCAGCTCAGGAGGAAAGCACGGATAACATAGCGTCTGGGATGGCTGAAAACACGGTTTGGGGTTTAGCCAATCAGAGCAGAGCACTCCTACGCTCCTCCCCCCTCCTCCTTCTTCTTCTGCTGCAGCTGCTGCGTCTTCTTCTTCTGCCTTTTATTAACATGACTGTTACCTTCCGTCCAACACAAATTTTCTTTGCGAATTCTTTGCTGCTGGGTGAATTGATTTGTTTTTTTTTATTATGTATTATTCTTTAGTAGAACCTTTGTAAAGTCTACAACACAAGGCAGGCAGTAAGTTTGATAATGTTACACTTTTCAGAACCAACTGAAGTGAAATAGCAGAGTAGGCATCATTTTTAAAACAGCAAGGACTTATAGTTCAATCATAAATCAGAGATTTTAAAAGAGACCCAAACATGAATGTCACCAGAAAACATTAACAAGTTGGCAACTATAGAATAGAAGATATATACTTTCTATTTCAGAGGAGCAAAAATACAAATTGGATCAGAATCTATTTTAAATCTATGTAGCTCTCCAGCAAGGGCACATACCAGATATAATTTTGAAGTGGGTTTCTTTTACCTTAGGTGGAATTGGATATTTCACACAAGAGGAAATTATTTACTTCTGAACGCATTATCTGGGTCTAGTATATTATTATTGGCATTAAAATTTGTTTGGATGGGGGGTGTTTCATTCTAGAAGGTTTGATTTAAATCTGATGTCTCCTTTTACAAGTCAGTAGTTTTTCTTCTTCAATGGAAATGTGTCTTACGTATAATTCTAGCCATTCCCATTTATTAGTAGTGCATACGTTTAGCATTTTTATTTCAGTAATAAGTTATTATATTGCAAAAATGTGTGTTCTTAAAATGATTCTATACAATTTCAGGACATAAAAGTCTTAAGAATCACATCTGCTAACTTAGTATTAATTAACTTCTTAAACCTCTGTATAATCAAACCATCTTGTTAAATGTAGTTGTGCCCCAGTAAACTCCACTCCTATTGGCGGCGCCATCTTGCTTTGTCCACCAACACCGCTACGTCAGAAGACTCCGCCTTTTCCGCTCACGTGACCCGCTGGATTGTTTGTGGTCGCGCGTCTTTCTCTCTTGGCGGTTTAATGTTTGAGAGAATAGTTGAAACAACTGCAGGGTCCTAGCAGAGCGCGAACAGTCGGCTTTAATGGAGAAAATGTGCGACGGGCCCAGAAGCAGGAGAGCTGATATCCATTCCCACGAACAGGGCAATAGGTGTGTTTTTAAACTTAGTTGCTTTTTGTTTTTTCCCCTTTTTTTTTTTTTTTTTGCTAGGAGCTTCCTGTTTATTTGTCCACCATAGGGAGTCCAGTGTGCTCAGTTAGCTAACATTCTGTTTAGAATTTTGAGAAACCGGTTAGCTAAAGGGTTCTTTAACTCTTTAAGCTGTAGAAATGACGGTTGAATTGCACTTGTCTGGTTCTGACCTGGTTAAAGCTGGTTGTCAGTGGCTCGTAGATTGTGAATGGGAACGTGGCTCATTCCATTCGTTTATGATTCCCAATGGCTGTGTGAATGTTGGGTCGTTTCTTAATCGTTCAATGGGGTGCTAGGAAACCGTTTGTGTGCTGGTGATTGAAGGCTTCTAAATGCCTAGGCCTGTGCCGGGGAAACACAGGGACAACGGTCGGAAGTAGCAGGCAGATGGCGGGAGAAGCCGGGCGGCACATCTTCACTTAACCGAATCGCTCTATCTGTTGGATTAGTTGCATGTATCTTTGTTAGTTTTTAGTTTTTAGACTGTGCTCTAAATTTTTAACATACCCTACGCTTTTCCCGTCCTCCGATCAGGACGATAAAGTACCTTGCTACTGCCCTCTGTGGTACACCAGCAAAAATCGAGCTACATTAGAATAACCTCTCTTTTAATGTGACCCCCCTCCTTCTCTCCCTGTCTCCCACCCACACAGGAGCAGTGTCCCGTCCCGGTGGTCCCACTGCAGGAAGAGGGGGAATGATGGCAGCCTGAGGCCCAACGGCGACGCAGATGAGTGGGGAGCGGACAGCAGGCATTCCAGGTAAGGCTTTGTGGCCCCGGATGGAGGGATCATGGTGTGTTGCTGGGGCCCCACAGCCCCCCACCAGCTAAACAGTGACCACTCCAGGAACTCTCGACACTCACAACGGGGCCGATCGGATGGGAACAACCACACTGTGCAGTGTGCTTTTTAGGTGTCACAGGTTTTTAAAGATTGCGTCCTGACTTGGTCCTGGTGTTTGCCCCCGTAGTTTCACAACCCCAGAGGGCTCGGGACCGGTGTCGCGCTGCGGCCGGTCGGACTGGGGCAGCCAGATGGAGGAAGACGAGATGAGGCGGGACGTCCACAGAGACATGCAGCGGTAAACCCCCGCGTTCGGCCTGTTCTGTCCCTGCTCCGTTTCTTTTTCAACAACAGTGGTCGGCACTGACTTTGCACGCTGTTTCCAGCTACAGGAGGAGAATACTGGCAGCCGAGAGCACCCAGAGGGAGAGAAGGACCTCCTCCGGCTCCTCTGGGAGGTAACTGTCATACCTTTAGTAAATGAGAGATGTATTTCCACCCCGTTTGACCCAAACACGTCTGAACATGGACGTGTGTTCGGCCCTCCTGAGTGTTTGCTGGTCTGAGTTAATGTTGGGCCGGTCCTCCTTTGTGTGTCCGCTGTAGCTGCGACTCCAGAGAGGGAGAGAACATGGAGACGGACGAGGCCGTGCTGCTGCGCAGGCAGAAGCAGATCAACTACGGCAAGAACACACTGGCGTATGACCGATACATCAAAGAGGTTCCAAAGTAGGTTGACTGAAAAGTTCCACAGTAATCGGATCTAGAAACGCAGCTTAAAGGGACATTGTGTAGTATTTTAAGTTTTTATTAGTTAAAATAACTTTTTTCATTTATAAATGTGTCCCCATTTGGTGTAAAATGACCTCTGCAATCATCTGACTTCTTCTCATAAGCAAGGAATTTCCTATCCTTATATACATAGAACGGGTAAGTCCACAGAGGTTTCCATGGCGTTCCGCCATTTTGAAAAACTACAATTGCATAGAGGGACATAAAGCACTAGTCTGCCTGTCTAGCTAATTCACAATGCATTTTTGTTCAAAGCCAGAGTCACTTTTCTTTTAAATTATTACATTTTTCAATTAATTAGATTAATTTAAATTATTATTTTATGTACAAACCTCATCACCTGATAGAGAACTGGATGATGTGGAAGTCATGTTGTCATTACTTCTTGATGCACCGTAGCTGTAATACCCATTTGAAAACGTGAGGCACTAGAGAGCACCATTTGTTAGAACGCTAAATACAATTTCGCCTTAGATGGGAGAAACTCCTACACCGTGTTCCTTTAATGCGGCGTGAAGACGGAGGCAGAGGCGTGTGTATCTCGGTTCAGATCGCTGGTAGAACAACGGGTTGTTTCCTTTTCGTGCTCAGGCACATGCGGCAGCCGGGCGTTCACCCCAAGACCCCCAACAAGTTCCGCAAGTACAGCCGGCGCTCCTGGGACCAGCAGATCAAGCTGTGGAGGGTCAAACTGCACGCCTGGGACCCCCCCGCCAACGACCGCCAGGAGAAGTCCCAGGACGATAACGACGCGTAAGCAAAGCCCCCATCCCAAGACCCCCCCCCCCCCCCCACACACATGTCCCCGACTGGGCAGCCACTGAGCAGATGTTTGTGCTGTTTGCAGCGAGGAGCTGGACCTGGGCGACGTCATGGACATCGAGCTGGACTTCCCGACCTTAACGGACCTGCCGGACGCCCCCCCCCCTCTCCCCATGCACAGTCTGTCAGTGGAGGTGAGCTGAGCGGGATTCTAACCTTCACGCGCAACTGGAAACACACAGTCCTGAGTTTTTTGTTACTGAACTTGGGTTCTACTCTTCTCTCTTTTTTTATTTATTATTTTTTTTCTCCCCCCAGGATCAGGACTGTGACGGTACTCCGGTGAAGGTTCAAAAGACAGACCCCTCCGTGGAGCCTGACATGGCATAGCTCATGCCGTCCAGGAAAAGACCCGTGGAGTTGTTTGTCTACAGACTCCTTTTTGTCCCGGTCCAACACGGCGGCAGCCCCAAAACGCCGCTCTGTGGCTGGAGCCTCGGCCCCAAACCTCTGCCAGTCCGGGATTTAGGGATTTGTTGTTCATTGTTCACTAGTTCTTAGTCTGTAGATCGGGACCTACCACACAAAATCATCCGCTCAGGGAGTCTTGTTATGGCAGCATTTTACCGTTTTAATCAAGCTTTGGGATTGGGTGCGAAGGCGAGCACTCCTAGCACTGATCAGTGGCCTTTGGGAACAGACGTTTGCCGGCGCCCTCCGAGTGTCAACGCGAAGTGATCAGTAACACTTCAGCCACGTCGAATCCAGATGCATACAAGTGGCCGAAGCCAAGGGTTCCTTTCGTCGAAAAGGGGAAGGGATTTTCCTTTTCACTAACCATTTCAGGATCTCGCGTAAAGAGTTTTACTTCAGTTACATTGAACTGTGTTTTTTTTAAAGCTGTTTCTTTGAGGTGGAGGACTGTCAAATAAAATAAAAAAGAAGTTGCTTATATTGTGTGCTTGTTCCTAACTTGATTGTAGCTCTTTTTGGAGGCAAATATGATTCATCGGCTTAGTGCAGAGCTTTTGCAGATAACATTTTTAATGATGAATCCTTTTTATATTAATTGTGTACACTGAGAAATGTTTGGAATAAAATGTTAGCATGTTTTTTATATATATATATATATAAAATATATATAAAATATATATATATATAAAGTGGAAGGATTGTGTAATTGTGGAAAGTGTTGCTGTTTTAGATGTTCTTTTACCAATGAATGAATATTCCGCGACCTCCTCCCGGCCAGTGGGTGGCGCTAGAGCCGCGTCAGCGTGGTCTGCTACCGGCAGAAGAACAGCGAGGCACCCGCCATATTCCCGCCAGGCCAGTGGGTGGCGCTAGAGCGGCGTCAGCATGATCTGCCCACCCCTCAAGAGCAGTAAGAAAGAGCCTGGTCGATGTTCGTTTGGGTCGACCTGACGGGATCCAGGCGCAGCAGGAGGGAAGAAACAGGACTACGGCCGTGCATGTTGAACTAATTCTGGGCTAAGAGGAAGTAACTGAGGACCATGCTTCGGGTTTGTCTGAGAGGAGCCAGGGCCACAGCCCGGGTAAGGCTGTAACCGATAGCCTCCATGTTGGTGTTAGCTAGCTGTCATTCAGTGACCCGCTGCCCGGCTCAAGGTGCCACAGCAGGCTGTGCCGGGGAGGGTAGGCAGACCCCAGAACAGCCGAAAAAAAACCCGGCCCGGTGCTGCGTTTAGGGCCCACTCCGAGCATTACGGCTCTCGCGGCTGTAACCAGAGCAGCGCACGGTGTGTCCGTTAAGAGAGGGGCGAGTTTGAGGGCAGAGGTCACGTCAGAAGTCTGAGTGCCATCCCGCCATCATGTGAGTGTCAGCTACGTCCAAATCCCTCAGCTGTGGTTGGTGTTGTCATTCCACTCAAAGCAGCACTCACTTAAAGAGCGCTTCCCCAGAAGTTAGCCCGATACGACCGGATCCAGTACCGGTCCACGAAGCAGCCATATCCGTCACATGGGACAGAAAGCGGGGCGGAACGGTGGTTAGCAAGAAGAAAGTTCTGGGTTCTTGTCCCTGGGGGACCCAGGACCTTTCTGTTTAAAGTCTGCATGTTCTCCCTGTGTCTGCATGGGTTCTCTCCGGGTTCTCCGGCTTCCTCCCACTGTCCAAAAACCTGCATGTTAGCTTGATGGGACATTCCAAATTGCCCTTAGGAGTGAGTGTGTGTGTGTGTGTGGTTGTTGGTACTTGTGTGTCTCTGTGTGGCCCTTAGACTGGCAGACTGTCCAGGGTGTACCCCGCCTCTCGCCCATTGACCACTGGAATAGGCTCCAGTCCCCCCCGCGACCCCATTAGGGAATAAATGGATGGATGGATGGATGGGACAGAAAGTGGGTTCGATGAGGGTTTGATGCAGAAAACTGCTGACTCAAGCTGGGTTATGAGTCTCCTTCTGCATCCCTTTTCTGTGGACAAATGTCTTTTATATCCATGTAAATGTGGCCAACCCTAAGAAACATCTTCTAACCAAATTTCCCAGCATCCAGGGAGATATTCAGTTACCAAAAACAACAGATGAGTACACATGCTGGCCAGGAATGTTTCCAGAATAGTACTGAAAGAGAATTTTTTGGGAGCGGAATCAGAGAGCTGGGATAGCATTCAGTTCAAGCTTTTGGAGGTCTGGAGTTGTTTGTGTTGGTCAGTAACTCACTTCCCACTGGTGCTCTTTTTAAAAAATGTATTTTTCCTTTCAGAAGAGCTGTGGAAGGACTCCTCTGACTAACCTACAACACACCAGGCACTACACCTCCGGAGAGAGCAGGTAACGCACACACAGATCAGAGATGAAAGGTGGCTGTCTAGTTTTTAGAAACGCATCCGACAGTCCCAAACTATCCTCCCGATTTCAAGGCTTCCCGTGAAACAGGATCCCGAACAGGCCGCTGTGTGTCTTTCTCTATAACAGCGGTGCTCCCAAAGTGGTGGCTGCTGGCCTGTTGATGGTGAGCGGCGGCATCGGAGGCACCGTCATCTACGCCAAATGGGACCCAAAGTTCAGAGCGGCAGTGGAGAAGAACGTCCCGTACACCGACTGGCTGCTGGGTCTGGCCCTCGGACCGGCCCCTAAGGATGTCCCGCCCGCCTCCAGGAAGCAGGTCAGGATGCGAGTGCTGTCAAAAGTAGGGTTGTCAAAAGTATCGATACTCGAAAAAGTATCGATACTAAAATGTTGTATCCGGATACGATACTCATTTTCAAAAGTATCGATACCCCCCCTTCTCTCTGATTTATTTATGTATTTATTTACGTTGTTTAGGATCATTAACAAGACGTTAGCCTTGCTAGCTGCGGCTAATGGCTAATAATAACATGCTACCAATCAAGTACATATCCAACTCCGCCCACATCCAAGTCGGCCAATTTGATCAGGTCACCAGTAGGAAGATCCCAGGCAAGAAAATCCTAATTACTTCATGGCAATATAGACATTAATTTAAAAATAGTTAAATGAATCTTTCAAACACTTAATTAAACTCTATACATATTATGTTAAAATAGTGTATATTAAATCGGTTTGTACAATAAGTCCAAATAAGTTTAACCAAAAAATATTTATTTCTCACAATTATGAGGGCTGGAGGGTTAGGGTCAGGGTCAGGGTTAGGGTTAGGGTCATTAATGTGGGCCACCAGTAACATCAGTAACAGGTCAGTTTGAAATGAAAGACACAATTCAGTAAAATTTTGGGGTCTTTTTTTTTATCCTTGTGGTATCGAAAATGGTATCGAGTATTTTCCTGAGTATCGGTATCGAGTTGAAAATTTTAGTATCATGACAACCCTAGTCAAAAGAAATCGTAAAATAAAGAGTCCCAACTGTTCCCATGGGGATATGCTGTCCATGGCCTGCAGCATTTGGGATCAGCTGGAGACTTTTCAGAGATCGGATGTAACAAATGCATCCCTCCGGGAGGAGATGGTCCTAATAACCAAACAACTTAAGCTTATTATTGGTTTTCAAAGTTCAAACTATGCATGATGTTTTAATGAAATCATAGAAAACCACAACATTTTTTTACCAGCAGTTGTTTATTGGGCCACCACCAGGCAAAACTTTGGGCCCATTGGACTCATTCCTGCAGAGAAAAAGTGCGTCCAAACTTTTACTACTACTCACTTTTTTCTTTTTCTAATCCCATGTGATCAGGTGGAGTCAGGCCAGCATCCCTCTATGATGGAACAGCAGATGAAAGCTCCCAAAGCGGCACTGGAGAAGAAGAAGGAGCCCAAAGAGGCCGTTCCCGTGGCAGCGCCGCCTCTACAGAGCATGGAGGGTGAGTCTCCGAGCTGTCTGGAGTCAGAAATTAGTAGCTGGGGCCTTTTTGATGTGGTCGTTCCAGCTGATACATCAGAGATGGATGCTGTAAGATAGATAGGTGTCCATACATCTAACCATTTTAACTCATTGACTGCCAGAGTTTTTTGAGCATTTTGACTGATTTTTCAAGAGCCACAGAATAGTTTGTGCTATGACTATGTAAACACCGAACACACCAAAAGAAAGAGTAGACTCTCTTCTTTCATCAGGAAAAAAAATGTGTTTCTACCTTATTCCGTTCTTCCTGGACTTGCGTCTCACCGGCGACATGTTCTCTCATAGAACCGTTCCCTTTTTCTTATTTGCCTACAGTCTATGCTCATCTCCCATCAAAAGTGGCACTGCCCCCTAGAGGGTCAATTTGTTACTACATACTCTGTCTAGAAGCCCATATTTACGGACTAGCTTTAGCAGATCGTCCCCCAAGCCACTCACATTGAAAAACATAAAAGACATCTATAGACGTCTTTGGCAGCCAATGAGTTAATGATGTAATGAACCTTCCGGTTCGTTTTAGTGGTCCTGAACACAGCACAGAGAGCAGACTTTTACGAAGGGAAATACTGACCATCAACCATAAAGGCTCACAGAGAGCTCTGGAATTATTAATGTACTTTTTGACCATTTAGCAAAACAAATCCTGGTTGTTTTCCATCAAGATTATAAAGCTTTAAGGGGCAGACCTCCCTAGTTCTGTAGCTGTTTGGCCTTTTAAGATGAAGATTGTTCCGCTTTAGCCAGCCTTTTTAGGAAAAAGAGCCTTTCTGATATGAGCGTAGTGTCACATTAAACCTGTTGTGTGTGTGTGAGTGTGTGCGTGTGCGTGTGTGTGAGTTTCACACTTGGTCTCCAGGATCTCCTCAGGTGTTCTTCCACTGCATAAACCAGCTGTGGTTTCAGTGTTTTTTGTTTTTTCTTCTCAACCAGAGGCTTCAGTAGAGGCTACGCAGATCATCTCGGCCATCAGCGAGGTCACATCAGTCCCGGCCCCCTGCGACACCGAGGCGGCCGGAGCCCGAGGTAAGTCCGCTCCGCAAGGGCCGGCGCGCCGAGCGCCCGGTGACGCTGACCGCTTCTGACCGCCTGTCCGCCTGCCCTCCGGTTCCTCAGAGGAATGCGCCGAGTGCCACGATCACAGCGCCGCCCCGGAGGCCGCCGCCGCCGCCGCCGCTGTCCACCCCGAGACGGAGTCCCCCGGGACGGCGGAGCCACTGACCGAGCGACCGGCCGAAGAAGTGACGGCCAGACTGGCCCTACAAGACCAGGCCGATCGGGACAAAGTCACATGTGGGTACACAGTGAGGATGCACAAAACGAAGAGAGAATGAGAGGGAAAAGCTAGCACTTATTTTAAAGCATCACACTTATTTTAGTTCTTCTTTCATGTTGGTCCTTGTAGGGCTCACTTTGTTTATGTTGTCCCACTTCTCCATTTAATGCATATTAGTTCCAAGTCCAAAACAATCTCTCACAGTTGCTGCTTAGAGACTTTTTTACGTTCCACTGCTAGCTACCAACTAGGGTTGTCAAAAGTATCGATACTTAACATCCCAACATTAATCAAGTCCGTCTGGCTGCAGACTTTAGGAAGCCAAGGATGGATATCCAACTCCCCCACATCCAAGTCGGCCATTTTTATTATGTCACAGGCAAGAAAATCCGAATTGCTTCATGGCAATATAGACATTAATTTAAAAATAGTGAAATTAATCTTGCAAACACTGAATTCAACTCTATAAATAATATTATGTTAAAATAGTGGATGTTATATAGGTTTGTACAATAAGTCCAAACAACTTTAACCAAAAAATATTTATTTCTCACTATTATGAAGGGTTTAGGGTTAGGGTTAGGATCATTAATGTGGGCCACTGGCCACAATAACATCAGTGATAGGTAAGTTTGAAATGAAAGACACTAACCTGTCAAAATTCAGTTAGATTTTTGGGTCTTTGTTTTTATTCTTGTGGTATCGAAAATGGTATTGAATATTTTCCTGAGCATCGGTATCGAGTTGAACATTTTAGTATCGTGACAACCCTACTACCAACCAAACCGAATTCTTTCCTAAATCCCTACAGGGAGCTTTCAGCTCCTTTTTTTCCCCCACAGTCTGACACTTTTCTCAAAGGTGGAGGCTAACCCCAGCCTTAGTTCAGCTCTTTTCGTGCTGGCGCATCAGTTCCGGTCAGCCCGGACGTCTGACCACGAGTCTCTCTCCTGTTCCGCAGCGCTGTCGGCCAGTATCGAGGACTCGCTGGCCAGCTCGGCGAAGGCCACGCTGCAGGCCATCGGAGCGCAGGAGGCCGCCCTGCAGGCCATCGTGCAGCACACCAACAAACTGAAGGAGGCGATGGAGGCCGAGGTACACTCCCAGTAATACTAACTCTGGAAAGACTGTCCCCCTTTTTAGTCACCACGCAGTTGTTGTTAACGATACAATTGGGGTTCTTTCACCCTGTTTTTTCAGGTTCTTTGACGGTTCCTTCCGCCCTAAAACGTGGTTGTTTGGTTAATTAATTACTGTAAATTGACCTGGGTGGACGTATGCCTGGTCATTTGTCTTTGTGTCTTTGCTGTAGCCTGCCTCTGGCCTCCTCAAAAATGTTTGAATTTGTGGGTATGGTTACTTAGCGTATTCAAACGCTTTCCTTTTTTTTTTTAAACGAGCAGAAAATTGTGACGTTCTTAACTCATTGACTGCCAGAGTTTTTTGAGCATGTTGACTGATTTTTCAAGAGCCACAGAATAGTTTGTGCTATGACTATGTAAACACGGAACACACCAAAAGAAAGAGTAGACTCTTTTCTTTCATCAGGAAAAAAAATATTGTTTCTACCTTACTCCGTTCTTCCTCGACTTGGGTCTCACCGGCGACATGTTCTCTCATAGCGAGACCGTTACCTTTTTCTTATTTGCCTACAGTATATGCTCATCTCCCATCAAAAGTGGCACTGCCACCTAGAGGGTCAATTTGTTACTACATACTCTGTCTAGAAGCCTGATATTTACGGACAAGCTTTAGCAGATCGTCCCCCAGCCACTCTCGTTGAAAAACATAAAAGACGTCTATAGACGTCTTTGGCAGCCAATGAGTTAAAGGCAATGCACATTTTAACGAGGCTGTGTGCATGTTAATCTAAGTCCGTCATCATGAGTATTTAAGAATATCTCCCGCCCTCTTAGAAAGCTCGTTAGAAAGCAGGTAGATGATGAATACGTTTTAGGGCGTGCTGATCTGTGTTAATTCTGCCACAGCATGACAGAAATGACATTAAATAGTCTGTTTTTGATACCAGAGGGGATATTTCTGCACATTGGTTCGGTATGGCTCAAAATTCCCTTAGGAGAGGATGCGAGTGTGTCCGGTTGTTTGTGTCGGTGTGGACGGACTAGCGTCCTGTCCAGTGTGCTACAGCCCCTAAGTGCTGAATCATCCCGCTGTGTGTCCAATCCAGGCTCCGTCCGAGGAGTGGAAGAATCTGGAAGCTGCTCTCACCGACAGGACCTCTGCCGTGAACGAAGCCAGAGCTGCTCAGCAGAAAGCAAAGTAATGTGCACACACACACACACACACACACGTTTTAGTGTCATTCTATATTTGATATTAGGATCTCTACGCAGCTAATCATGTCGTAGGTGTGAGGTGGGCCAGGTGAGATGAACAGATGCTGTCTGATCATCATTTAATCCAACCTGGCAACACAATCTGTCTGAGTCATGGTCGAATTCACTGGGCCACACACACACACACACACACACACCGTTGCTCGATGTGTGGAGAGCTGGAGAACTGCAATCAGGGCTCAGTTATCAGATAAATGCACAGCTGCTGTGCCAAAAAGCTTTCAGGGTCAATTCATTGGATGAAAACATCACTGACCATATTTTTTTTACTTCTTTCCTGTCTAATAGTGCTGGCAACAGAGCAGAATACAGTGGTTTTCCCTTTTAAGAAAAGCATTTGTAAGAGCAAGGTTTAACTCGACAAACACTGCTTGATCATTTTCCAGCCTCATTGGCCACCATCTCGAATTCAAATGTTGTATAAGCATAGGTCAGGGAGGCAATCCCCGATAGCAGCTAGGCTGCTGACCTCTCAGTAGCCGCTTAAACCTGCTGCTCTCGCTCTTCTTGTGTGTCAACATTTGGTCTTTTAGTGGAATCCCATGCTGATACCAAAATGTACGTATCAAAATGTGATTTAGGTGTTTGTGAGCAGGCCTGAGCACAGTTTTGCTTTTATTCATACAAATAAAGCTGCAAGGCAAAAGTACTTTGCAAGGCAGCTTTATTTGTACAGCACATTTAAGCAACAGGGCAATTCAAAGTGCTTTACATAAAATCAGTAAAAATGAATAAAATACAGAAGAAACAGTTAAAAATAAAAACAAATAAAACACCAGAATGAAAATTACAGTGCAGTATAAGAGATTAAACAGTAAAGAAATCAACATCATTTAGAGAATGGCAACATCAAAAAGAAAGGTCTTCAGCATTGATTTAAAAGAACTGAGAGTAGCAGCGGACCTGCAGGTTTCTGGGAGTTTATTCCAGATGTGAGGACCATAGAAAGTGAAAGCTGCTTCCCCCTGTTTAGTTTTGACCCTTGGAAAAGAAAGTACACCTGTCCCAGATGAACTTAGAGGTCTGGGGGGGTCATAGTGTACTAGCAGGTCAGAAATGTATTTTGGCCCTAAACCATTTAGTGATTTACAAACTAGCAAAAGTACTTTGAAATCAGTTCTTTGAGACACAGGAAGCCAGTGTAAGGTGGCTCCAGAGTAAAAAATGTGGCAATTATCATATGCGCTGTGCTGTCTGTTCCTGTGTTTTTATTCCTACCTACATTTCCTTACATGCTGCTACGTTACCAGTAGATGCAGTGAAATTATCTTTTAATAATCTATTTGAATTTGAAAAATTCATTCAAATGCATTCAAATGACTAACGCGGCCCCATCGCTGCAGATTTTTAACATCCTCTTTCCTCTTCTGTCTGTTTCTTCGTGCAGAGAGGCTTTAGACGGGCTCAGATCAGTGATCGAGGACTCCAAAGGGCTGAAGGTTCCCGACGCGCGCCCACTCATCTTAGCCGCCGAGGAGAACCTCCACAAAATGGTTGTGGACTTGGATAAAACCATTGCTAAGGTGAGCGGGTTATTTGACGTGTCGGGAAACATCATTGTGCGTTCTGAGATTGTTTGTCCTGTCCTGAGGCCTGTGCAGAGATTATGAAGCTTATGTATCATGTATGCATATACATAAATATTAATTATAAACGTGTGCATATACGCAACAGGTGGAATAATAGGTTTAAGTGCCATTATGTTAATTCAGGACACACTGTTATATTGATTTTATTTGCATTAATGAAAGTTTTCCATGCTCGTTTTGTGGAATTATCTTTGGGCATGTGCCAGGACAGCTTTTCCTCTCTTTATTTTTTAAAAGATTCCAACCCGGCTGTCTCTTGTGTGTATTTTTAGGTTCAGTCTGCAGAGTCCGAGGCGAGGATTGTGTCCCAGTACAGTGAGCTGGTTAATGAAGCCAAGCAGCAGTTTCAGAGGGAAGTAACCAGTCTGACCCCAGAGATCCAGGCCAACTGGAAAGGCCTTAGTGAGTACACTCGGAGAAACAAACTGGTGTTCCTATCCTTTTACTCACGGTTGTGTTTAATGTGTGTTTATTTGAAATGAAATTTGCCAGATATACGCGAATATCGTCTGCATCCAGAAAGGTAACTGCACCAAACTAAAAAGGCCTTTATTGTGTTTTTTTTTTTTTTGTGAGCCGGTAAACTATCGACGGATGACCTGAACGCCCTGATCGCCCACGCCCACCGCCGCATCGACCAGCTGAACCGAGAGCTGGCCGAGCAGAGGGTCCGGGAGCAGGTCCACATCGAGGCGGCGCTGGAGCAGCAGAAGCTGGAGGACCAGAGAGCCCTGGAGAAGAGCGTCAGCAACGCACTGCTGCACGTGAAAGAGGAGGCCCGGCTGGAGCAGGAGAGAAAGGTACGCAGGCAGATTTTCGATTTAAATCCAATGAGTTAGCTTCTGGATTTAGGAAAACATTTGTGGGAATGTGTGTTTTTAACGAATCTTGCAGAAAAAATGCAAATCACTTTTGGGGTTCAGGGGTTTTCTCCCCTCATTTGTAAGCCGTTTCCTGAATCAAATGTTTCTTTTGTAGATGGCGGAGGTACGGGAAGTGATGGAGGCAGAAATGAGGACTCAGCTCCGGCGGCAGGCCGCTGCTCACACAGACCACGTCCGAGACGTCCTGAAGGTCCAGGAACAGGAGCTGAGAGCTGAGGCTGAGCAGGTCTGTACAAAACCCCTTTAAGTGCTTTAATGAGATGAGGGTTGTCAAAAGTATCGATACTCAAAAAAGTATCGGTACTAAAATGTTGTATCCGGATACGACACTCATTTTCAAAAGTATCGATACCACCGCTGCCCCCCTTCTCTCAGAGTTATTTATGTATTTTTTTACGTTGTTTATGGTCATTAACAAGACGTTAGCCTTGAACTGCTAGCTGCAGCTACTGGCTAATAACAACATGCTACAATTAGTCAAGTACATATCCAACTCCGCCCACATCCAAGTCACCAATAGGAAGATCCCAGGCAAGAAAATGGCAATATAGACATTAATTTAAAAATAGTGAAATTAATCTTTCGAACAGTTAATTAAACTCTATCCATAATATTATGTTAAAATAGTGGATGTTAAATAGGTTTGTAGAATAAGTCCAAACAAGTTTAACCAAAAAATATTTATTTCTCACAATTCTGAAGGCTGTAGGGTCAGGGTTAGGGTTAGGATTAGGATTAGGGTCATTAATGTGGGCCACCAGTCACAATAACATCAGTAACAGGTCAGTTTGAAATGAAAGACACTAACCTGTCAAAATTCAGTTAAATTTTGGGATCTTTGTTTTTATCCTTGTGGTATCGAAAATGGTATCGAGTATTTTCCTGAGTATCGGTATCGAGTTGAAAATTTTAGTATCATGACAACCCTAAATGAGATACATTGTAAAGGGGGTGGTCGATGTTTATTAGTAGCTGATGACATCTCTGTTATTTATCCCCAAGTGTGCGTTGTGTAATGTAGAAATCTGGTGCTTTTTCAGGTCCTGGGCAGCAAGATGCTGGAACAGGAAACGCGCTATCGTCAGCTGACTCAGGAGCAGCTGGATAACTTCACTCTGGACATGAACACTGCCTACGCACGGCTAAAGGGGATGGAGGAGGCCATCGACAGTAAGACAGAACACTCTAAAATGCTAAAGAAATGCCACATCAGAGATTGGGACTTTGTTTTTAAAATGGCTTTTAATTCTTAGGTGTGGTGGGATGGTAAAAGCTCACTGACACAGCGCGTGATGGCGATCTTAGTAAAAAAATCTGAAACATCTCTCTGAAATGCTGTATTGGTTGTAAATATAAAATGTAGTTAATTTCTACTGTAATGTTGGAACTAGGCTTGTCCCGATCCGATATTTGTATCAGATCAGCCGCCGAGATTTGCAAAAAAATGCGTATCGGCCAGCAGGAAAAAATGCCGACCCAGACTCCCGATCCAGTTTTTTTTTTTTTTTTTTTTTTTGTCCGATCCCACATTAGCATTAGCATTTCCCAACCCACAGGTCTGTGTCCTAACCTTTGATTTGTTATAATAGGAAATCCCTGTTCAACATGAGTCTGACAACTAAGTAAGTAGGCTAAATAACTTTAAACTTTAAAACATGCTCTGATAGGCCGGTATTAGTATCAGATCGGAAGTGCAAAAAGCTGGATCGGGACATCCCTAGTTGGAACATAAGGACACCAGGGTAAACACTGGTATTTGGTCATGATAGACTAGGAAAAAAACAACAACAAATGAACAGACTGAATTGGAAACGTACTAAATAAGTCCAGTTATTAGCTGGAGGTGGAGTCGGAGGTTTGTTTTGTCCCTTCTTCTCAGACCTCCCTCCCGTTGCAGGCCACCTGGTCGCGGAGGACGAGGCCCGCAAGGCCCACCAGCTGTGGCTCTCTGTGGAAGCCCTGTCCTACGCCCTGAAGACGGCCGGCGCCGACGCGCCCACCATGCCCCTGGAGCCGGCCGCCCAGGCCGTGCGCGAGTGCTGCGGCGGGAACGACTTTGCGTCCTCGCTGGCCTCGGCGCTCCCAGAAGAGTCCCTGCAGCGCGGCGTGTACAGCGAGGCCTCGCTGCGCGCACGCTTCAACTCGCTGCGCTCGCTGGTCCGCCGGGTCGCGCTCATCGACGAGTCGCACAACTCCCTGTACCAGTACTTCCTGTCCTACCTCCAGGCCGCCCTGCTGTTGGAGGCGGCGCAGGAGGCCCCGCCCCAGCAGCTGAGCGGCGGAGACCTGGACCCCTTCCGGCTCCTGTCCTACGCCAGCTACTGCCTGGAGCACGGGGACCTGGAGCTGGCGGCCAAACTGGTGAACCAGCTGACCGGCGAGGCCCGGAGGGTGGTGGAGGACTGGCTGACCGAAGCCCGGCTCACGCTAGAAACCAGGCAGGCGGTCAGCCTGCTCTCGGCCTACGCAAACGCAGTGGGCCTAGGAACCACCCAGGCTCCCTAGCGCAGCTTTTTTCCCCCCCGATCAGGCCACCTTAAAGGGAACAATCCTGCGGAAGTTTTCTCTGTAGCGTCAGGCTAGTTGCTTCTCCGGAGAGGTTCAGTTGTATCTCTGTTCTAGTTTGGACAGCAGGGGGGAGTTGGGAGACAGCCAACGTTTGATTCTCCAGAGGAGTTTTTCAGCGGCGCATTCCTTTAGGTTAACCTCGATGTTTAAGATACACCCACACCGTTTGTTCAGCAATAGCTAAAAACTACTAACTCAGATAACGTCCCACTTCACCTCTGGCTCTCAGATTGAAAGTTTCCTTTTATCCTTCGCTAGCACGTCACGGTCGCCTCATGTAAACATTAAATTATATTTCATGCTTCACCGTTGTGAATATTGCATGTTCAATAAATCATGAACAGTACTGCTGAGTGTTTAGTCTACTTGATCCTCTTTAGTTAATATGAGATAGCATTTCTTCGAAATAACATTTTCCTAGAGTTACAGGCTAGAGAATGAAATATTAGACTACTTTCTTTCCCACTTTCCTGTTCGTTATAATTGCTTTTGTATGGACAAATAAGATAACAGAAATATGTCATAGCAGTTTTTTTGTGATCACTTTAAGAGAATATTTTTTTAAGATCGTCATATGCCCGCTACAAAAACAGTTCACAAGAAGAATACTCTTACTCACATATACCTTTATAATATAAGAATTTCAACTAAGACTGGATTTACACTGTGATGGAACTAAAGATTTATGGATCATTTTCATTACCAATCATTTCTCAGTGAGAGGGAAAAAAAATAGTCACAGACTTCATTATCATCATCAAGCCGCTTCATCCTCTGGATCATCATGACATCAGGATCTTCCTCTCGGCTCTCATCGTCCTCTTCATCACGACCACCATCTGCAGAGAGAAGCAGAAACCGAGGAGATGAAGGCGTGTTTGTTCCTCAGCTGTCAGCAGTGAGCAGCCTCCAGTAGAAAGAGCAGCGGGGACTTCAGTCCTGCTCAGAGCAGCTTCCTGTCAGCCGTCATGTTTCCACATGTTAGTCAGGTCCAGATGTGTCAGACTGGAGGACTGGGAGCTGAGGACTGAGGACTGAGCTTTGCAACTTCTCTCTGAGAAGTTACAGCCACTGAGTCTGAGAAGTGAGAAATTAAATGGATTAGGTCATCAATCAGTCAAACAGGTTTTGTAGATTTCAGTTTCTTTTTGTTCATGAAAACAATGTGGAAAAAAATCCACAACATAAAAACAAGCATAAACATCTGTTTTTAGAGTTCCTCGGGTTGAAACCTGTTTAAACACCAGACAACAGAGGGCAAAACTAAAGCTAAGTTCAGACATAATGAAGACATGCGGTGGTTAAACTCTGAAAAGGAAATACCAGACATAAAGAAAACATTTCTATAGACTGCATAGAGCAGACTGCACATCACTTTAGAAAAATCTAAATCTGTCAGATATTTTTTTTTAGTGCTGTTTCACATCTGGAGGAGAACATGGACAGGAAGCAGGACTTACCTATTCTTACCTGTAGTCACCTTTATTCTTCCCATGGATTTAAAAATACCTTACTCAGGTCCAGAAACATTTAGAATGACTCGGTTCCTGAAAAAAATTAAACCTCTTTCTAAATCTGTAAATCTGTGCTGTAGTTTCCATGTTTCTGAAAAATCCGATGTCATCTTCAATAATCATGTGATTCAGCAATGGTCTTGTTCATGTGAACAAACAAAAGTTGTTTCTGACCATCAATTCGATGTCAATATTCTTATTCCAATGGTTTAAAATCATTATTAGGGGTGAGTTAAGCCATAGAATTGACCACTAACATGCAGGTAAATATACTGATCAATAAACAAATCAAACAAATCAGTTTTAAAATGAATAACTGCTGTAGGTTCTTGCTCAGAAGGGACTAGGAGTTTCTTAATATGACAAAGTAACATCTCATTAAATCTGTAAGACTCATTGGAACTGATGCTCTGGGTTCTGCAGTTTCCTTGAAACCGAGTCTGCCGTTTGTCTCAAGCTAATAAGCGGCAACTTAAACAGAAATTAAGCTCAAAGGGGACACCTGCTGGACCAGCTGCTGTCCTACACACACCCACAAAGGCCATGTCCAACATCCATTCTGTCCACTTTGAGTTTAAGGGAAACATTCAACACCCAATGCGGCGACTCGGATACATTTTACACTGTTACAACATTTACACACAGCTCAGCTCTCAAATGATGAATGATGGCCTGATTTGAAGTAATTTTAATGGCAGGTTGACCAGTCAGTCTTCATAGCCAATCAGAATACTCACTGAACTATTATTTCTGAGTGTGTTTACTGGATGATATTTAAAAAATTTTCCTCAGAGAAATATCAATAGTACATATGGAAAGTTGATCAATCCAGAAAAATACACGCACAGCTGTATATAAATGTCTATATTTGTGATCCAGTAAATTCTGCTTTACATTTTCAAAAGCCGATTTTGACTAGTTAGACATATTAAAGGAATAAAAAGGGATAATATACTTTCTGATTCTGGTTCGCATTGCTGGATGAAATTGATATTTTTTCCTCAGAGAAATGTTAATATATGGAGAGTTGATCAATTCAGAAAAAATACACATACAGTTGTATAACAATTATCTTTATTTGTATTGCTGTAAATTCTGCTTTCTATTTTCAAAAGCTTATTTTGACTAGTTAACATTGAAGGAATTAAAAGGGATAATTTACCTTCAGATTCTGGTTCGCAAGAGAAGAAAAATCGCCTTCGTCAAATTCATGAAAGTTAAAATGTGACAACCAGAAATCCCTGTAAAGCTGAGTTTTTTGTTGATCATGTTACAGCAGAATAACACGTCAGCAGTCTGCATACAAAGGAAATGACTTATTCTCACGACTCTCACTTCTTAAACCTGAAAATAAAAAAGCTGCTGCAATCCAGAAAGTATTTTACCAGAATTTGATAAAGAGGTTTTTTTTTTTCTTCTATTGACCAAACTGAAAAACCTGAGTTGTGTCCAGTCCCAACGAAATGTGACTTTGGAAAATATGAAAAGCATAGTGGATAAATATCCACTATGCACTATGTTTGTGTCCCAAGAAGCACTGTGGGAAATCCCACAGTGCTTCTTGGGACACAAACATGGAGCTGAACAGGTTTAGACATTTTCAGCCGCCCTGGTCACTACAGAATCAGCATCCTGGGAAAAAGACTCATCAGTGGACAGCTGCCCAGTCATATTGTCCCTCTGTTAATCCAATCAGCAACCACTAGGGGGCTCTGGAGAGTTGGTACATCCCCCATGTACTGACCATCTTCTGTCCTCTCAGTTCAGACTGAGCCGCTCTATTCTGAATTATGACATGCTTTAGTTTCTACTTTTGAGTAAATTTGTAACCACTTAACTCCAACAGAAAGGTTCCCTTTGGGATTTGAACCCAGGACCTTCTGGCTGTGAGGCGATGATGCGGACCACCACACCACCGTGCCGCCCTCATATGGTCTTGTTTGTTGTGTTTCATGTACATGTTACACTTATTTCTGTAACATATGATAGAATAGAACTCATTTACTGAGAGAAAAGCTGAAATGAAAACAACTTATTTGGTTGTGATCATAAGCACGATGATTAAACCAAAAAGTCAAACAAAAACCTGTTATCAAAGGTTTTGTTGTAGAAACATTTTCATTGACAGTGCTGCTGCAGGACCACTGGTTCCTACTCTTACCCTCTGTCTTGCTCTTCTTGCAGTGCAGACTTTTACATCTTTTTGCTGTTAATAAATGGAGCGCGAACTTGGTAGAACTCATGTAACAATGGTACGTTCCCTGTAACAGATGAAATAAACAACAGCGTAACTTATGAATTATAAATCAGCACTGATTAGCATGTCTTTGCACGTCTATGGAGAAAAAAAAAACAAATCAAAAGCTCTCTTAATTGGTCCACCCAGCCTGTGCTGTTAAACCTGTGCAGATGGTTCAGAATGCATTATGGCATATGGTCCTCATAGATCCATCCATTACCGTAACCACTTATTCCCTTATAGGGTCATGGGGGGGACTGGAGCCTATCCCGGTAGTCAATGGGCAACCTCACTCCTAAGGGCAGTTTGGAATGTCCAATCAAGCTGATGTTGTGGAAATTTGATTCTAAAGCAAAATTCTATGTAGTAGGTGTGACTACTTCAACATTTATACTTGTATTTATATATGAGATGTTACACCTGCACAAGTATGTTTATCTTAAAAGAAAAAAAAAAGTGAACTGTATTCCTTATTGATATTATCTTATCATTTGTTTCAATAAAAATAACTTGAAAAAAAATAAAATAAAAAAAAATAAAGCAAAATTCTGAGTCCATCTGAGGAAGTAAGAAAGATAAATTTATTAAAAGGGAAAAAGGGAAGGGAAAACTTCATGAAGTGAGAGCAGCCAGCACGACCATACAAGTTCATATGATGCACCATACTGCCCCAAAGTAAAACAAATCATGGTGCATTTTATACCCCTCTGAGGCTGAAAATAAGACGTAAAGTCTGTCCTTCATTCTGCATCTGTATTAAACAATTCTTCAGACAAAACATTCAGAGATAAAGTATAAGGAGACCCTCTCTGAGGCCTAGAAGGAGGAATGAGTCCCATGAGAAAGAAAAAAAAAATATATATACTGTATTAACTTGTGGAAAGTTACCAGAGAGAAATTAAGAAAGTGATTATACATATATTAATTTCCCTAACACTAACATACAGGTTTTGGACAGGTTTTATGACAAAATGTGGACACTGTGGTCATCAACGGTTCGTTGACTACTGGTGCCTACACCACTCTTAACTTCCTCTAGTGTTAACCTCTAGTGGTACTCTGGCGTTAAACCTAAAAACGGGTTGGTGCCCACCCTAACACTAAAGGAAGGTTAAGACAATCCGGAATATTTTCATGTGTCATTCCATGATGGTGGAATGATCTACAGAGCAAGACTAGACGAA